CGTGTGTGCGCTGCGACTAAAAATGTGGAGGTCCCCAATTGGAAGAACGGGACCTTGAGAAGGTCTTGAGTGGTGCTACGATGTTTTTTGCGGTGATGGTGGTGCGCTGCTGCCCCTTAACATAGTACCACCCTTTCTATCTAATACCAAGCCACTTTGTTCCCATTTCCATTTTGTTCTTGGGAGACTGAGAGTTATGGGGCCCATTCAGAATCTTCCCCATCGTCTAAGGAGGTGGCGGCCATTTAGACGGGCGCCTCTGCTCCGCTCTACTATAATTTCTGTTAGCCCGCCCTGCTAGTAGCCATCTTTTTCGATTTTTTGCCCAACAAGACAAAAACGAAAGAGCAGAAACCAGAAAACAGTGAATTGCCCGGATAGCAGTGGAAATGCACTGAACAAAGTTATTAAAAAGGAAAAGTTAATAAAGGGAATTTCCATTAATCAGAAGTTAATGCCAATGGTTGTTAATTGTCATACGGATATCATATTCCATTACTGCAGGCCAACTGTTGTCATTGAACGAATTAATAAAGTTTATGTACATACAGTATGAAATGTCCACACATGCCTAGACATTAATAACGATTTTCAGTCTAGGTTATTGGAGGTACCTCAAGCTTACAAAAATGTAATCTATATTTTAAAAGTAATTCCCAAAGAACGTCTCTAAGTCTTTCCACAAATGTAAACAATGCTATCAAATAAAACACTTGTCTTTTTCTCACAGTGAACGATCGAAGTGGTAATGGAAGTGGGTTTGGACTGTTTATTTTATCTGGTTTTCTGGCCATGGTCTGGATGAGGATGGTGGCCTGTTGCCTTTGCTGCGGTTTTGAATGCACGTCGGGAGTTTCGGTGGCTTTGCACCGCCGTGGTGCTTGAGCACTTCTGTTTTCCTGGTGTAATTAAGTAAGCGAAATATAATAATAATAAATTATAATTTTAGAAGGCGTGCCCCGAACCCGAAAAGTGCCTGGTAAACTGGTAAACTAAAATGGACAGCACTTTAGGCCATTTCTGTGGGAAGCGCGACGTTTGTGTGTTTAAAATATAAACGAACAGGGTCTAAGAAATTGTGCTATAAAAATTTGAAATTATAATGGGGAAAATGGAAAATGTGAGGGGGTGTTTTAGAAAGAAAAGAGTAGACTTTTGTTATGTTAATTTTTACAGCCGCACGGCTGTTAGCAGTGGTACTCTAGGCCGAACCCAAACCAGAAGAAACCAATCCAGTCATGGAGCGAAACCTGAAACCCAATCGCTGTCTCCACTCGAAACCCCTTCTCGAGAGCTCCCGGTTCCAGTTTCCAAGTTTCCACGTTTCCCATTTCCCCAGCTGGGTTCGCCAAGTTGTTGGCCAGACTTTTGCTATTTCTATGACAACTTGGTAGCTCTTGGGTAACTTCTAATGATTTTCTATGCACGCCGCTGTTAAGGAGTTGCCCCCGGAAAGTGGGGAAGCCCCATAATCCCCAGCCTGGGGATCCACTGTGCTCGGTGTGATTCTGAAATGTACGTTTTCGGTGGAGTTTGCGTCATGCGATGTTAATGGAACAGGCGATCAGAGGTCTCTAAGCGGATGACGTAACACGTAACGGCAAAAATGGCGCAACGGAGCGAACAAGACGGCGATACACGCCAGACAAGGAGGACTGAAGGTCGCTCTCAATAATATCTGTTTGTGTGTGTGTTTGTCTGGGGCCAATGTACTCGCGGTCAGTGCATTGCACCCTTCTCATTCCAATCATTCTGTTCGCGCTCTTCTCTCGTTCTTGGGGTTTGAAAAAAAAACGAAGATGTGGGGAGATAATACGGAGTACAGAAACGAGCAGGCACTATAGGATATTCCATACAAATGATGTATCTTATTTGTGTTCTGATATCATAAGCTAGCTTACTTTTGTAATTTTAATCAATTTGTTCCCTATTTTGAATTTTAATTTTATTTATTTAAGTTGTTAATTGCATATAAGTTAAATGATCTTTTTAAGGTTTAGGTAAAAACCAAACTTTCTAATTCATTTTTTTGTACTGTTATAATTTTTATTTTACGTTTCGCTTATTACTAAACTAGGCATTTTCTGTTGCCAAGTCAACTTTACTCTTTTAAGGTCCTCTCCCCTTGTTACGATTTTTTCCAGCAGCTTTGTTCTGCAATTACGCCAACGTCATCGTATTCGTGCGGTGTGCAATTTCTTCTATGTGCACGTAGCTGCACTTATCTGCCCCTGTGCCCCGCCCTCTCAATTTACACAGAAATAAAAATCCGATGGATTCAATAAATATTAGTCTTTGAGCTATACGCCCTATATTCACACCCCATTATAAATTAAAAATGTAAATAACTATTTACACCGAAACTTAGGGAATCATAATATTTTACCTAATTTATTAAATGTATCTCCTTGAAATGTATGCATGCAAGCTGTTTAAAATTATTTATTCAGTAATCACGATTTAATGTATTTAAATGACTTAAAAAATGAAAGTACATAATGGAAATGTAATAATTTAAATTTTAAATCCGTAACACATTACTTTTTTCTTTGTGTAAAGCGGCTCTCTGTGTTTGTGGTCTATGGGTGTGAGAGCAAGAGAGTGTAAGAATCGTGAGGATGGAGAAGGGGGTGGTGCCTAGGGCTCCTATCGCCGCCCCCTTTGGCTTTTTGTTGGTAGATGTGGATGGAAAACTTTGTGTGCCCCTGCGCTCGCACATTTGAAAAGTGCATCGAGTGCAGCGAGTGCATCTCCCGACGTTCAACCATCTGCCAGCCGAAGAGTACAAAAAAAAAAAAAAAAAAAAAAATAAAAACGAAGCCTAGTTCGGCGAGCCTAGATCCGAGTGCTTGGGAAAACTCTTTCGTTTTTCTGTTAGACGATCTCCCCAACGGGCGGCAAATGCAACACCAAACCCAGTTGCAACCCACCTGTATGCAACTCCAACTGGTTGGATCTATTCGGACGCCTAGGAAAAATCCTGTCCATAGTTTTTCCCCAAAACGGAAAACTCCACTGCACATAGAAATTCAAACCTTGCCCCGAAATAGAATACCCCCTCGCTTCGAAACTGAAGATTAAACTCGGATTTCGCTGGCATTGCACCAATGAAAAATGGTTGAGAAAAAAGGTCGAAAAAAAAACGTTGTATGATTTTTCTTCGTCAATATTTTGTAACAGAGCCGCAGCACCGTTGCAAAAGCGGCTCCTCTGCTCAAAATGAAATGCTTGTGTAACGATATAAAAATGCATGTGAGGAACGAGAGGGAGAGGAGTGGAGGGAGGGAGATGGCAAGCACTCAGCGCCAACGGTTCCCCTTCGTCTTCTCCCTCTCGCACTGCAGTCACTGCCCCAGTTCTGCGATGGTGTGCGTGTGAGTTGTTGCTTTTTTCAATGTGGACAAGTGAGTCGGAGATAAGCGAAACTAAAGAAAGAGAAAAAGACCAATGCAATTTTAACGATTGCACAGTGGGATCAAAAAGTTTTAAAGCTTTACTTGAGCATAAAACTCATAAAAATATTGGAAATTTACCACTTTTACTGAAATACTCGTATACTCCTAGCAGTAGGTATTACTATCTTTAGACTAATATTTCTAAATACAAAACTTAGAAGACACTATTCACATTTTCCATCCCACTGTGCGAGTGCATCCCTCACCCAACCCACTCATTCTCTCTCTTTCATTCTTTTCTTTTGCATTTGTAACTGCAGTTGAGCGAGACTGGGATGGCAATAGAGGGCAGTCAAGGAAAACATGATGGGGATGGAGGCTACGGGGGAAGGTCTGGGTAACTGCAAGTGCATCGGAATCGGATCAAAACTGCCCACAAAGTGCAGGCTGCAAACTGTGCCCCCACTCGCCAAAACACGAAAACAGCCCAGAAGACGAAGGCGCACTCAGCGGCGTGCAGAAACCGGGAGAAGCAATCGTCAGTGCACGCGTGTATTTGTGCATACACCACAGTGGCTATATTAACATGTATCGGAGATTTGTGCAAAAATCTCATCGCGAATCGGTGGGCGCACCTGCTCCGCCCCCCTTTTTTTATATATTTTGTAGCTCTCTCTCGCTCGCTCTTGCCGGTCTTGGTTTTGTTGTTTTTTGCAAGTGCATCGCTTGGCTGCGAAATCTGGGCTCCTTTTCCCAATGTAACACAACCATGCACCATGCGAGCGAAGATTGCCCCTAGGGTCCATTACGACACATATGAACACTGCTTTTTTACAGGATTTGAAAAAGGGGGTTTACAAAAAAGTTTAAGGAGTAAGGCAGTGCCCCCATATTACAACTCCATCTTCTCCTGCGAGCGATAATACCCATATTCCCCTTGCAAATGTGCCGCTCCAGCTTTGTTTTTTTGTTGCTTCTTTTTTCCTCTTTGACGAGCTGCGTGCACAAAAGTAACAAAATGTACTGAATGCCAACAGGCTCTCAGTTTTGTGGAGAGCGACGATTTTACATTACGCTGTTCTCAGTACGGTACACGCGCTCATTGCGCGATGTCCCCTTCTCTCGCTCTCTCCCCTCCCACCATCTTTACTTAACTGCCTGTGTGTGTGCGTTATACTTGCGCTCTGGTTCTCCCCACTCTTAGAGCCCCCTTCTCGTCCACGGGATATAATGACTCTACTCCACTCCCCGTTTTTGTGGTTTTTTTTGCCTTTTGCGGGGCTTTTGCTCTCGTTTGCTTTAACAGTCTTGTTTTTGTTGCTGCTTTTGATGATGCGCTTTTGTGTCAGTGTGTACGAGAGCGAGCAAAATGCACTGCAAATTGCAGTAGAGAGAACAAATGCAAGTGCATTTGTAATCTCTCTCTGCCCTTTCTTTTCTCAAAAGCTGATTCTAATAGACGAAATCAATTTGTTTTAAATTCATAAGACAATTTTGAAATTAACATAATTACATACTATATCTTAAAATATAAAAAATGTATTTTTAATTTTATTTAATATATTTTATATTTTGTTCAAATTTAACAAATTGGACTTAATTTTATATTTATTTATATATATATTTATTTATATATCTTGACCTGCCTTCTTTTCAAAATTTTTGGACTTGAAGCACTCTTGTGGAAGAAATCTGAAAATTCATTTTTATTATTAAATAAAATTTGAATTATAAATAAAATTACATAAAATAATTTTCCTTACCTGTGAATCAGTGGAGATATTAATTGCGAATCCAGAGTCTTGATATCTGTCGGTTTGGTCAATAGAGAGACCAGAGAACCCACAACGATGACGGTAAGCACACCAATGGGGTTTATCCAAAGGAATGAAAGACGGTAGAGTGGAAATACTTGCTCTTCGTCTATCCAAACACTTTCTGGGAGAGTAAGATTACCCGTGCAACCTTCAACGGAAACCGGAAGTTTCTGGGGATTTAGTAGTCCGGATGCCGAGGCGATTTGTGTTCCAAAAGTTATCCATCCGACCAGGAGAAATCCGGTGATTCCTCCCACTGCTGTTCCCACTGTATTTGCCCAGGGTACTAGCATTCCCAGGGTAAAGATTCCAAAAGTGGAACTAGTTGCAATAGAAACTACAGACGTGCAGATACCTAATATGCCACTAACTTTATCTACTATAAATAATAAAGCAAAGGCTATAATGCCCATAATGATGATAGTAGATTTAACAAAAATTGCAGATGCCTTTTCGCTTGGATTCATTTTAAAACAACCACGGATTATATCCTGTAGAATCACCAAAGATGTTGAGTTAAAGGAAATCGAAAGGGAACTCAAGCCAGCTCCAAAAATGCCAGCAATAAAAAGTCCTGGGATTCCGTAGATATGGCCAACACTCTGAACTACGAACAGGGGAACCAACTGATCGCTATTCTGTTAAAATATTAAAAATGTATATATTATATATTAAGCCTTAGACTATTTTCCGATACTCACCATGATCTGACCTGCGCTTATTGGATCGCAATCCTTGTACGTATGATAGATAAGCAATCCCAAAAAGCAGAGAAGAGAATAAAATATTATAGATCCAATAACAAAGATGGCGATTGAGATTCGGGCCATTTTTAAAGAAGGCAAAGACATATATCTATGGACCACCGATTGATTCACAGCATTAACTGAAGTCCAGTAGAATGTGTTGCCGATTATAACGCTCCATACGGTGTTACGGACATAAGGTGAAGGATCAATGTTTCCAAATGTAAGCCGTCCTCCTTCCTCTAATTTATTTAATAGGTCATCTAAGTCGGTGATATAAAATGTTGCTAATATAGCAACAACCACAACAGATAGAAACATTATAGCCACTTGCCAGATATCTGTATGCACCACAGCCTTGAGACCGCCCTGCAGATACAAATTTGTAATAATATTAAATAAAATAATAAATAATAAATATATCATACCAATAAAGTATATATAACGCACACCACAATGATCAACACTTCTATCAAATAAATATTAATGCCAGAAACTGTAAAAACAAATAGAATTACGGAATGTCGGGTGTAAACCGAATTAATCTTACCCTGATTCAGTGCTAAGGCCGGAACGAATACTAAAAAGGGCATATATAGTAGCTGAAAATAATTAATTTGTAATTAAAACATAGAGATAATAAATTATCTTAGCTTACCACTTCGACAACAAACATTATGGATGTTATGCTTCTAATAACCGAGTGAAATCGTTTTTCCAAATACTAGATATTAAAGACAGAAAATTAATTAATATATGTATAGACACATTTCAGACCGCCTTACCTCATACGAAGAGGTTACTTGTAGAACCGAATACACAGGCAAATAAACATAAGAGACGGCTAGTCCTTGGAATACGATGGCCACCACAATAAGACTATATTGCGTGCCGTAATAGTACATTTCCGAAGGTGTTCCCAGTATTGCAACTCCCGATATATAACTGAATAAAATTATAAACGAAAATTGGATTATTGCAGCTTAAGCACCTCACCTGGCTATCAAACTCATTGCAATAGGAAAAACTTTCAAATTGCGCGATCCCATGAGGTACTCGTCCATCTTTTCTGATCCCAAATTTGGAGTGGATCTTTCAGTTGTATTAACATTTGGTGGATTAGGCTCTACATTCTTTTTGGTCTTCCTATATATTTTTTATAAATAAAGCACAATTTTACATACGTAAACATCCAAGTTTTTGTAAGTCCTACTCACTTTATCCATCCGTAATATAATCCTGTGGCTATGGATAATATGGTCATAGCCAGAAACACCGTATAGTCCACGATACCAAATCTGTAGATGTCCATTCTTGGCGACCTATTTTGCTATAATGTCAGTTGTAATGTCTTAAATGCCAACCGGAGCTAAGATTGCCGAAATTGTTATAATCTGTGATATGTTATCGAGGGTACACATAAATGGAGACATGATAATGGTGGAGATATGATGGTGATGATGGAGATATGATGGTGATGATGGAGATATGATGGTGATGATGGAGATATGATGGTGATGATAGAGATATGATGGTGATGATAGAGATATGATAAACTTAAAATTTCTAGTCTAGACACTTTGTAGTCTCCAATAAAATCAGTGAAGTACTGTCAACTATTTGGATAACAAAATAGGTTAAAATAGCTTTGTTAAAATAGGTTTGTACAAATGAGTGGTTACCGCTTCCCTGAAGCGCTAAATTGGACTGGGATGTTAGATGTTTGGGTTAGATAGACAAAATAGATTTCCCCGTAGTAAAATACCAACAAAATTAGGCAATAAAACCACTTAATCAATTATGGTCTATGATTTAAGTAATCAAAGATGATTGCACATAATGATCTTATAAAACTATAAACACATTTTTTAGATAATTGCCAAAAAGGTAAAAAAAAACAAAAAAAAAAAAAAAGGTATATACCCTGTACTAATCATTCGAAATTCTCCCAATTTATTTAAAACCATTAAAATTCGAGAACATTTATTTAAATTCATAACTTCTGTTGAGTCTGTTTATAATATAATATATATTACATCATTATTTGTAAATTTAGCTTTTATTTTGGGCTTGATATGTTTCCGTTTCCGTTTCAGTTTTTGTTTTTTTTTTGTCCAATTCCTTTATTAAATTGCTTAAATTTTTTAAATGAAAACCAACAAATTTATGGAAACGTTTTTCGTCATCTTGAATTCTTTATCTACTAATTATTTATATATTTTAAATTTTTTGTTTGTTTTTAAGAGTTAAGAATTAAGTACTTTTTCATTAATTTTGAAAAGTTTCTTATATTCTCAGATTTGATATGTTACTAAATGTTAAAATTTGTGGAAGGGTTCTTCATAAATTGTTGTTTTTATAATTATCTTTAAAAAGCTGATATGCTTACGATTTCATTTTCTTGTTTGTTCTTCCCCTAAAAGTGAGATTTCTAGATTGGAGGATGTTCTTAAAAGCTAACAAGTGCTCCATTGATATGTATCGGTTCCGATTTGTGGATCAACAAGTTGAATGCATTAACTAAATTCCCATAAGGTTTAAAAAGATTACATCGCTAAAAAGCGGTCGTTTCCAGCTATAGATATTTCTGGACATTGTTCTTCTTATTCTTTAGGTGGAATCTTAACTACCTATCACAGTTTGAAAAGGGCTCGTCTGCTTTTCTTCTATTGGGATTATCTAAAATTCCCCGGCTTTTGGGGGACTGACTGCCCCGCATGCTTCTTTAAAATTGGTGGCATTTAGTGGACTAAAGTAATCCTCGTGCAGAAAGCGTATGATGTTCTCAATGGGACATAGATCGGCTTTATTTCCTCTGGAATCCCTAGTGACCCTTAGGCTCTTTCCGCCCTCACAGAAATCTATCTGTTGGGTCACATCCTTTCCGTTATAAACTACACGAAAATAGTAATCCGTGTGCGCTTCACTTCGATATACTTCGAATGCCAATCTGGAGGCATAGGCTATGGTTTGACCTTGGCTGGTGATAATGCCCAAGGCAGCCGTTAGATATTGCATGGTGCAATCGTGTCCAGAATATAGTACAAGCTTAGTCCTATCGCCAGAGATCATCTTTAGCATATAGCTGACTATGTGCCGGATCATTCCATAAGATCGTAGCAATCCAGATAGCTTATAGTAAGAGTGACCAGCGGAACGTTGAGATAGTTCATCCGCAAAAGTCATTAGCGTATCCACCTGGCTGGGTTCTACGCAGCCCTCTTGAGGTTCATCTGCCTGCACAGAAGGATTTCCATTCTCGACTTCGGGGGAATCAGGTTCCAGCTGGGTTTGTCCCTCCTTAAAAAGAGGAAATTATAGAGCCTTGTAAAATCTTAAAAATTCTTCAATAAATACCTGCAACAGATTGGCAGCCGTTTCATCCTGATCTATATTAATCACATCCACCAGCTCCTGATTGGAGTTCTTTTTCAATGGTTTTGGAGTAGATGACGATTTTTTTCTACGACATGGCAAGGCGGCTTCATGGCATAAAACCGTTAAAAGTGCATCCACTACCTCAAAGGGATTACTAATCCCATTGGGAGTATGCTGTAGTATGGTACCCCCGATCCATTGCATCACTTCCAGGACATCGGCACGTTTTAGGAGCTGCCTATCCCCCATTGCCTCCAAACGTTTCCTCAGAAGTGCCGACTGTGGGCAACTACATTCTCCGAAACAGAAAGCCATGCTATGCGATTCCCGTACATTCAGAGTCAACCATTTATCCGCCGGAAGCAGGGAGAACAACATGGCCAAAGCTGATTGGAAGGTTCGGCGATAGCGAGTGGTAAAGACAACCACTTCATCTGAGTTCAGAAGCGTGTGGGGAGTTGTTTCCACTGAAGCACGATTGGGATTGGGTTTAAGCAGGAGGCCCAGAGGATGGGCATAAACCTGGTGCATGGTGTCGCCTACGTGAAGGAGCTGTGATATACCCCTGGTAAATAAAAGATAGATTAAAATCCGATTAAAGAACTATATATTGACTCACTTGTAGGTGAGCTGACCCAGCGGACAACCACGCTCTGTGGCCGGCAGCAGGGGAAATCCATGAAAGGGTCCCACTTTGTTCCAATACATGTGATTCGATCCGGAAGCGGAGCTACTTGAGTTATACAAGAAACTGCGATATCTGTGAAGAAGACACTTGATAAAAGTTGATTTACTTGATTACTTTGATGGGTGAGTGTACCCACCTGTTGACCAGGTTATCTGTGCCCCCACTAACACCGCAATTAATACCAGCACTACGGACATGTGATATGGGTCCCCGATCACCGTGCCTAATCACCAGCAGCACTCCCTGAAGCTTCCAACCCTCCAAGATGCCGCCGTCATCCAAACGCTGGAGCTGAGGCAACGGAGCACATCTTTCTCTGTATTTTGCGAATCGCTGGGCAGCTGAGGATGCCATGGTTTCGCCGCCCAAGGAACTGACGGTGCCATATGAACTAGGGCCAAACACTGAGCCACCACCTGGAATGGACTCAACATTGCCCATGTACCGATACATTCCTGGAAAAAAAAATGAAAGGATTTTTAACGTTTCTTTTGAACAACATTTTTTTTTACAATCATTTTTTAGCACATTTTTTGTTTAGAATTTCTAAAAATATATATCTTATTTTTTCTTGAATTTTTCTCAATCCACAATCAGATATCATATTCCCCTAACTCACCTGCTATTAGAAGGAATATCCAGACGGTGAGCAGCACATAGCAATAGAAGGCTCGATGTTGGGTGGCCACACGCATCAGTTCCTTGAGCAGCCTCATCCTGGCCAGAATATCCGGCTCTTACCTGCTGCCCCCAAACTCCACTGCTCTTCCTCAACATCAACTTGATAGGCGGCACTCTCGGAGGGTTTCTGCTGATAATATAGCTGTGTTATAATCCTTTCTAGCGCTTAATAATCCTGACAAGAGATTCAATTCATTGGGAAAGTTTCGATAGTTTGTTAAAGAAAAAACCTGGTTTAAGCGTTTACGTGGAGCACATCCAATTGCAGGAGCATGCGCACTGAAAATTAAAACGCTATCAGCTGTTTTTACATGGGTGCTGGACAAAGGGGGTAGATTCCATAGCGCCCAGGTAAGTTTCATTTTGAAAAATGATTTAGGAAGATACGATTTCAGTTTTAATTATAATATAAAACTCATAGTATAAGCTTAGCATCAAGCTTGAGTGCACTCTTTAATAACAATAATGTTCCCAATACATTTGTGGCTTTGGCTCAAGGCAAAATAAATATGCGTAAACTGTAGTGTATCTGAAAGACGGGGCTTCAGTCGCCTTTTCAACAGGATTAAAAATATGGTGGGTATTTAAATGTATCTTCTGGCAAATAGAGGATCTTGGTGGTACATAAGTTATGAGATCAGTTCCAGCCTAATTCTGCGTAGCAGACAGAGCCAGAACGGTGAAGCGCACATCATTGGGATCACGCGCCATAAACTCCTTGCACACCTTGGCCGCATCCTTTACGAAGGTCTCCTCTGAAGTTGGTCCATGTTTGATTGGGAAAGACTTGCGTCCATCCAGCTCGTAAAGAGTTCCATCCTTGTTGACAAGGGCGATAAAGTGATGATTCACCGTTTCGTGCTCATCGGCATTGGTCTGGCCCTCTTGAGCCAGAGCCTGATGACCGGCAGTGAAGTCCTTGTCGTCCTCCAATGCCTGGCCACGTTCCTCCGGCGAAAGCTTGGCTCCATTATATATGAAGTCCTTCAGCACTCCCTTATCGACTTCAATGCTGGAAATAAAAAATATTATATGAAGAGTAGCATAAATGTATTATATGTATATATATGATCTACCATATGATTTTATGGAAGATCTTATTGATCTATTAAATTATATGTGATATAACTTTTTTTAATAAGAGAATAGTCAAGGGTGTAACTTTGATAAGAAAACGAACTGGTTCGCAATAAATAAAGACAAAGAAAATTATAACTCACTCTTTGTTGTTGGCTACGCAGTGAATCAAGGCTACGGTTCCACAAGCGTTGGGGGTAATCTGGCGCATATAGAAAAGATCGCTGGGATGCTGCTCGTTGATCTCCTTAACACGTTCGTGTTCCTCAGCACGATGCTTCTCATACTGAAAAAAGAACTCAATAACTATTAAATACATAAGATATACACAAAGACCCACAGTTTCGCTACATGGAAAGAGCAGAATGAACGCCTTCACGGGACGGGGAATCCATTCCAAAGTGTCCTCTTCCAAACCGATGACGTCAGTTACAGACCAAGCCGGCGACACGCCCAATTTATGTATATACTTGGTCAAGACCTGGGAATGGGTACATTTTATTGGCGTCTTTTTACTTTATTATCAATAGGAAGCCGACATTTTTGCAAAAACAACAAGAAAGCATTTGGGAATTTGCAATTATTATAGTTCCTTTAGATTTGGGTTTCTTACCTCTGGATTGGATTCAAGCGGAGTCAAACTCATCATTACCTTTTGAATTTAGCTTACGATGTGTTTAGAATGAATATTGAAATGGAAATGAAGGATTTTTCAAGACTATTACCGGCAATTTTGTCGAGCTTTATATTTCCTGAACGGAGTGTGTAAGCACTGGGTTATCAACATATATCGATGGTTGCTATGTTAATCAATATTGACATATCAACTTAAAAATATTTAAATGTATAACAAGTTTTTTTAATATTTTTTAAATTTACAAATTGAAAACAAAATTTATTTTAATTTTTAATTTTCACCTATCGATACCAAATAGTGCCAAAGAGCATACAAATTAATCTAACATGTGTTTAACATTATTAAAAAAAAAGCGTGTAGACATTGGTTGACGTAAACAAGAATTCACATTGTTTACAAAATGACCAAAGCGAATAAAACGCCGCAAAAAGCCAATGAATCCAATACCAATTCATCTTTGACACCAGTGCGATGTAAGTTTTCATATTAATATAAGTATATATCAGTATTAATATAGTTCATTCCGCGTAGATCTGGACAGTCCCCGTCTGCAATCACCCACCAGTCATGACTCGAATTTGGCCACCTGCAAAACGAGATTGGAGACCATAGTTAAGCAACTCCAGGATAACTATGCTAAATGGCAATTGGCCCAGCAACGGGGCTCAGCCATTTGTTATTCCATTGAGGCCAAAAAGACCAAGTGTCTCGAAAAAAGCCAGGACGATGGGATGATTACCACTTATCCGGAAGATCTACTTCTGCCCTGCAACAAGTTGGCCATTATAGCTTCGATTTTTAGAGATATAGCTAATAATATAAGGGAACTGCTAAGACAGCTAAGGGCCATATGTAAATTGCCAGGAGCTGCAATGGATACGATATTTTACAGGTCATGGAAGTTGCCACAATTTTTAGCGTTCACCCAAGAACTATCTGAAAGATATCAACAGGAAGCCTTAGTGAAAAAGGAAGTGGCTGGTAAGACCATTTTCTATGCTTAAGTCTAAGAATTGATGATCTTACGAAGAATGTGTAAAATATTAGAAAGTAATTAGCTTTAGAAGTCTTTATTAGATTAATCAGAACAATTAGTATTACCAAATCGAACTTTTTATTTTCTCTTTTATAGAAAATATTGCTCATTCCACTAATCGAAGCGAGCTCATTGCTTATACAACTTTGTGGGAGTTTCCCGAGCACGTGGATTCATATGTCCAGCTAGGTTTTCTTCTCCTTGCCGAAGAAGTCGGCCTAAAACAATAAATAAATTGATTTTTTCTCAATTTGTAATACCATTTTTAATGCTTATCAAATGTTCATGTTAGGCAGTAGAACTTCAATACAGCTTGAGATTATCCAAAAGCTTAGCAACCTAAATACTACGAGATAATGGGAATGCAGCTATCAAATGCTTCGTTGTCGGTTGTTTTAGGTCTGAACAGAGATCCGCTCCAGTCGAGGAGCACTGTGAAACTTGGTCCACCACCAAAACCAAGCGCACGAAAACCCCACGGCCAATGTGGTGAAGTACAAAACAGTGGCCAGGCTAAACTTTTTCTGTAAGGAGACGATATTATGATAAATTCAGTCAATCAACATTTATTTTTGTACCTTCTTTTGTTTCTCCTTGGCCTGGACTTCCTTCTGGTTTCTCGCGTTCTTGGCATTGGCTTCGATTTTCCGGAGGTCATTGGCTATCTCCTCCGTGATTTGCTTAACGCTCTTCAGAGTTTCCTGGGCAAAGTAGCTGGCATAGTGTTTGTCGCCCACGACGACGTCCTCTGGAGTAGAGACCTGCAGCTTATAGTTGGTGACCGCCAAGGAGGCTCGCAAAGACATAAAGTGGCTGCCAGCTTTGCCCAGGATCTGATTGTTATAGGCCTTGGCGTCTGGATGATTAATAAGATATTCGTAACTGGGATCTTGATTGGGCATTTTGTCAAACATCTTTAGCAGCTGGTTGCGTTGTTGCTCCGACTTGAATCCGAAAAGTTTCAAGTCTTCGTCCGTGAGGGAAGCCAAATCCCGGTAGCTGATGTTCTCTGCAATCAATTTATCAACGCAACTGCTGGCTTCATCCATTTCCACGGTGGTGGAGTTTAGCAGACTATTGAGGATCTCGCGCTCTCGTCGTGTGTCTTTGTGAGGCTTTTGGCGGATCCACGGACGACGCTCGTTACCTAGAAAACCCTGATCCAACATCTTCTGATGGGTGTGCGTGTGGAAGTCCTTTTTTGGATCGAACTGGATAGCCGACGGCATATTAGCTATGGCCGCCAAAGGCACTTCCTCAGCGGACATGGTGTAAGTCTTTGTTTCGCAGATCTCTGTCAATAATGGCAATTAATTGTTTGTTTAAATGCAATTGCGCTTAGTGAGGATTCTCTTGATAAAGAGTTTGGCGTTTTGCAGCACTGTAAGTAGGGGTGGTCAAGAATTTTAACAGGAAATGTTAAATATAACAGATGGGCTTTATAGACGTTAAAAATTAAGACTTAAGGCAGCTAAAGGATCATCAAAATGATCTTTATTTTTTGTTGTCAATATAAGACTCCCTGCCCGTGGATTATATACATAAAAACTTTACTTATGAAATGCTTAACATTTGTATTTAAAAATATAACAATTTTGAATTATAGGAGAAAAAGCTGCACACTATCCTATTTCTCAGTCGATGGTCTGTAAACTGGAGCACTGGTGGTTGCCGCCTCCTGCAGTTTCTTCATAAACAACGCTTTCCTCTGGTCATCTGCACTTTGTTTCGAACTCGAGCTGGAGGCTTTGATGCGTTCAATTTTTTCGGCATTCGGCTCGGTAAGCAACATCAGGCCATATCCCATTCCACCAAAGCCAATCAACCACAAAACTGACTTAAAATAGGGATTACTAAGCATTTTGAATGTTTCCTATTTCTAATCGCTTTTCTTTAGGGCGCTCCAATAACTTGCATCCGCTTGTCGCACCGTGCTATCACCGACAATTTCTCCAATCTTATAGTAATAGTCCAGAACAAAGGGATAGTTTTCGTGAATATGTTGACGGAACTCTGAAAAAGGATTATTATTTACAATAAAATTACTTATGTAAATGTCATCTTACCTCGATTCGTGTTCATGCGATAATAAACACCGTAGCTGGCCGCAAAGCAAACTGCTTCTAAAACAAATAGTGTCTTCGCACTTCCCTTGATGAATTTCCAGATGGCGGGCTTGGGTGTTTTTGGCAGCATTATAAACAGTAGTTGTTAAAATTAAACACGTTTGCTTTCTAAAAACAAAATTACTTACGAAGGTTACGATAACGATTGCCGGTGCTATCGAACAGTGTTCGTTAACGGCTTAAAACAGCTGTTCGACCGGCTAGTGTGTGTGTGCTTCTTCTTCTAACTCAGTGCAGTGTTTATCTCACGTTTTTGTTTTTGCTAACTGATAACGCGACGCAATTTGGTCTATAGTGAAAATCAGCTTTTCATATCGATGGAAAATCGTACACGATGAGCGGCAATACACACGGACTCAGCTGGTTTCCGCACTTCCCAGACAAATTCGTGTCTTGGGGCCAGGAAATCCATTTGTACGAGGTGCGCCGCAAAGATGATCACAGCCAGAAAAGTGAGTTAAGAAATTTAAGATTTTTCATTGTAATTAATATATATGTAACAGGTCGCCTGCCTTATATATCCGTGAACTACCTCGCCAACGAATCGCACTATCAATATGCTCGGTGCGTGGCCGCCTCCTATCACAGTGACCAACCCATTATTGCAGTGGGTTTGGCGGATGGCAAGATTGGGATATGCAATTTTCGGGACACATATGACAGCAGCTGGGAGTACAGTGGGTGATCTTTACATTAACACAGATCTGTTGCTCTATTGAACTGCGCTATATGCCAAATTGCAGCTCCTCGGCAACAGCGCATGTGCACCTGCCTCGCGTGGAACGAGCTGGATGCCAATATACTAGCCATTGGACACGATCGCCATCGAAACGACACCTGCATCACCATCTGGGATATAGAACGCGGTGTTCCCAAGGAGACGGCCAACTTCTTTGGAGTCGGCGAGTCCGCAAACTCAATTTGCTGGGATCGAAACCATCGTACGGTCATTGCCGGCATGAGCCAGAAGATGATCAAGCTCTTTGATCTGAGACGTGAGTCGGTTTATAGATTTTTAAAGTGCTTAATAGTAGGGTTAATCTTTCTAAAGAGATATTGTATGATCTATTAGTTCTTTTTTCTAATTATTAACTAATCATTAGCAAAACTCTCTGATTCATTCAGTTTTAATAATTAGTTATGTTTTGCTAATAAAAAAAACATTATGTTATTCCGTTCCACAGAAAGCAACGCCACCTGTCAAAGCATTCAAACAAAGACAGTACAGGGTCTTTCGGTGTCCCCTAATGGCAACTATCTCTGCAGCTATGTGGATTCAGTGATCACGCTGTGGGACCCGCGAAATATTAAGAGTCCTCTTAGACAGATTCAATCATCAAAGAATCATCTACAGATAGCCTGGTGTCCCACTAAGGACGAGCTTGCTCTCCTCCCTGCAAAGGGATTCCTCCTACATTACCCTCTACGACATCCGAAGTGTAGATAGCGAGAACTCCGGAGAGATTTATCACGTTAAACGGCAGATAAGCCCTTTTCCGGCTAGATATCAGCACAGTGGAAAGTTTTCCTTTGTCAATTGCTTGTCGTGGCATTCAAGAGATTTTGAGAGGGCTCTCCTTTTGGCGGATGCGTTAAATATTCTTGATTTCCGCCTGCCAGCCACTTTGCACACAGCGCACAGCAATCGCCGAAAGTTGCCGCTGCTTATGCAGCGACCTCTTTGCACACCCTCTTCACCGACTTCCACAACAGCGGTCACGCCGACTAAGCAACAGCCCACGAGCAGTTGCAGCACAAATAGTGGAAGCTCTCTAGACTTTACCAGTCCCGGTGGTTCCCCCTTAAATGTGGATTTGTTGGAACCGGAACTTTTTGAACTAGATCTCGTGGATGAGATGCGTCAACGTGCACTGGAGGATTATGGTATTAAGCCCGATAATAAGCGATTCGCAGAACTCCATTTGACACCTTACCTCCGGAATGTGTGGTCTACCCTTAACAATGTCTACTGCGATGATCGGTTGACGGGCTTGAAGGCAACTTTGGGCATCAATTTGGGACACACCTCAGAAGCCTTGATGGCCAGCTCTCGGATCGAATCTCAAGTGCTCCAATGGCCAGAGGGGATTAATAACTCAAATAAGCTGATTTGCTACAGGTGAGTTTTCATAGAATGTGGCTATTATATTTTATTGATCCCAAATTGTATCTTAGGAGTGAGCAACGTGACCTTGCCCTCCAGCTTTGCGGCTGGGCCTTTGAGCATGAGCTGGAACGCTTTATTGACCAGTTGTATGCCAACAAGGAGTACAGCCGTGCTGCCATGATTTGCGTGTTTCATCTAAAGATCTTTCACGCCTGCAACATCCTTTCCTCGGCAGCGGACAATATGAGAGATCCCAGCATGTACAGGATCACTGTAATAGCCTTGTCCAGCTTCAATGCAGATCGTTGTAGTTCTACTTGGCGGAATCAGCGCTCTAGCGCCAATATGCAAATACACGATCCACATTTGAGAGCAGTTTTTTCCTTCCTAACTATGGAGAAAGACAATTTTGATGCGGTTCTAAAAGAGGACGGCGTGTCATTGTCAGATCGCATGGCCTTCGCCTGCAAATATCTGTCGGAAACCAAGTTAGCTGACTATGTGACGCAGCAAATCCAGACGGCCATAGATGGCGGTGATCTCAATGGTTTGATGCTCACAGGAGAGTCGCTGGATGGAATTAACATATTGCAGTCCTATATGGACACAAGCTTTGATGTGCAGGTAAGGGAAATTCATTATGTTTTTAACATTATGATGTTGAATAAATTGTGTTTAGACAGTAGCCCTAGTGGCCATCAATTACTTCCGGCAAGAGCACTTTGCGGACAAGCGCATTCAGTACTGGATTGCTAGTTACCTTGACCATCTAAATAGCTGGGGCTTGTGGGAGAAGCGAGCCGAGTTGGACATCAAGATTGAGGGTATTCGAACGTCTTCACGCAGTTCCCGCACTGTATTCCTGTCCTGCAACTTCTGCGGCAAGTCCGTGTCCAATGCATTGTTGGATGAGCCACGTCCACGCAGCACCACCACCAGCACCAATCGATTATCCTCGTGCCCCAGTTGCCGGAAACCACTGCCTCGCTGCTCACTCTGCCTGATGCATATGGGTACAATGGTGAATATGAGCAACGGAGAGACACCAAACTCCGCATCCGAGGTTTCTGGATGGCAGACCAAACCCTTCTCAAAGTGGTTCTCATGGTGTCAGACCTGTCGACACGGTGGACATACCGAGCACATAATGCAGTGGTTCAAGTGAGTACAAAATGAAATGTTTCAAATTTTTATATTAATCTTTAACTATTTTTTTGGAAAACAGACAAAATTCAGAGTGCCCCGTGTCGTCTTGTAACTGTCGCTGCTTCGACATGGACGGCACCAAGCCCAATACATTAAGAGACATTTCCTAGCTGTCCTCCGGAGCACTTATCTACAGCCCTTACTCGCCCATGCCATATGCATTAAGTTGTTGATTTGTTCCAAACGCGCGCGCCTTAAACAAACATAGAAGTGTTCATTGTACTTAGACAAGGGTATGCCCGTAGAATTAGTGTTTATGACCTACCAGCTTTTAGCTGCTCAATTGCATTTTATACTTACATTCAAATAAAGAACTATAATTATATATTACAAAAGGAAATATCTTCTCAAGTATTTATTAAACGGATAATGATTAGTTTTATATGAATAATTAAAGAAAAGGGAAATCTACAGGAGAAGGCACTTAGTTTTATAATTCCTGCGAATTGGCGCAAGACTCAGATTAAAATTATTGGAACTTTGTGCAGCCGGACGTTAATCTCTCTTGGCCACAGAACGCACCACCTCGAAGTCAGTGGCCAAACGAAAAATTTATTTGGTTGGTCCTCATCCGGCTGCCAGAAAAATAATGTATTGATAGGAATATTTGATGATCTAGGCGAGAATGTCGATTATTCCGGATAAATTAGTCCTCGCTAATGTAAGATGACTAAATGAAGGAACATTATCTAGATGCTTCTGAATATCGTCCAGGATGCCTTCTTTTCCCACCGATCTGGATTTGACCAAAAGCAACTTGGCTTTACTGAAAAGTCGCTGAAGCAGCTATTTGCATTTCACTCAGAATAGGCTCCCCAGTTTTTTTAATATATACCTATACCTTCGCACTTTTAGAGACGCATTTAATTGCTCACTTTCTTCATAGGTTTGAAACTAAAAGACTTAAAAAAGCTTCTAATAAACCTAAAATAAATGAATATTCTATAAATTTCAATTAAATTGAAACGGTTTTATTACATTTAAAATAAGACTCTTCATATACTGCTTTTTAAAAATAAATTTCTTAAACTAAAACTATATTAAACTACTATATTAAATAACAAAATGAAAGTTAAGCCTTAAATTTAAAAATTAAAAGCGTTTTAACAGAGTTTACGCTGTACAACACTATTATATACATATCAGAGCTTATTTGTAAAAGCCACTAACGGTCACACAGCCTCGCACGTTTTTATGCGGCATTATTATTTTTTGTTGCTGTCTGACGTAAATTTGGATTTGTTAAGTCCCAGAAAATCGTGCTTCCACTCGTTAAACTTAAATGAATAGTCAATAATATTGGGTGATAAGGCAAAAGCAAACATAAATAGATATAGCGAAAGGAAAAAAAGCCAATAGTCCCGAACAAAACAGAGATATCAGTGGGTAAGTAGGGGGTTGGAGGTGCACAATGTGCGAAATGGAAAATATAAACTGTGGGTACACTACATCGCTTGAGTGGTTAATAATGGGTATCTTTAGAAGTACATCAAATAACCTGACCTTTTCAACTTTTAACTGTCTATTCGTGAGACTTTTGTTTGTTATTCGAACTGCCCAAAAACTGGTTTTCCATTAAGAACTACCCCAAGCTTAAAGCCTGCAGCGTATTCAAATCTAAAATGCAAATATCTATACTCAAGCCATAGCTAAAAGTGTATTTATATTTTGTATCAAAGATCAAAGAAGGTTTCTCCAAATAGCTTTTTGCCGGATTATTGAATTATTTTCAGTGACGTCGCTTTTTCTTGTTGATCGGGCTTTATTTAGCCATCGAGACAACAAATAGGTGTGCGAAAAAAATTTTTGAAAACTTGCCAACTAAAATTCAACGCATCTCAGGCATTTTCACCGCGTGACCCCTTCGAAAAACGAAAACGCTGAAATGTTGGCAGCGTTTTTTGAATGAGTTTCTCTGGGGAAGTAGAGCATAAGAAAACCTATTAAAAATACGTTAAAAATTTAACAGAAAATGCGAATTAACATAATGCGAGCTATAGTTAATGTTTTATTGACTTATTGTTTCCATTCAAAAATCGGTTATAAATCAAATGGAGAACCCAAACACAACTTAAACGGAACGAACTGTTTATTATGTCACTTCACTAAATTTAGCACTCTGCGCACTACGCTCTTTCTCTCTTTAAGCTGTTCTACACAGGGAAAAATAGGGTGGATATTAAATGGCAAGTTTTACTGAAATAATGTCAATCTTATTAGTATGATAGTTTAATTTACTCTCAAAATAAACGTTACTTATGTGATTTTATTTATATATTTAAAACAAGAATTACATAAAATATTTATGAGAATATCGAGACCAAAATCCATGTTAACTAAAGTGCTGTAATTTTTCTCATCGTGTACGCCCCTTTATATTTCGCTCTTCGTCAGACATATGGTCGCTAGCTAATTTACGCGTTGTTTGCCTTTCATTATTTGTCTTTATGCCAGTACCGCTGTTAATTACCAATTCCTACAATTCACAATTTGCTATTTGCAAATCAACCGGCAAAGTAAACAACAGAGAGGCATAGGAAGAGAATGAATTGCAATCGTAAAACAGCTGACGGCGGTATCTCTCTCGAAATATGCTAGGTCGTCGGTTTCGAAAAAAGTTTTCCTCAGTTTTGCCTGAAATGTAGTGGCGGACTCAAGTTTTGCCCGCGAGTAAATTATTCAACATTATTTTTTATTTTAGCTCCATAATATAATTTACGATTTTTCGAACGAAATGAAAAACGAGAAATGAAAATGTGAAAATCAAACAACGAGTGGCTTTGAAATAATTCGCTTGATTGAGTTTAAGCGTTTTTTTAGTAACAAACAAAAGCCCCAGCTTTAGTAAGAAAACGTTTTATAAACATCGACGAAAAATTCACGATCAAGGTCAGCGTCAAAAAGTAATTAAATAAGCTTGTTTTTATAAAGCTAAAAATACATATTGGGATTTACTTTTATCAGTGGAAGATAAAGTCGGTTTGGGTTGAGGAAAATGCATTCATGCTTGGAACGAACACAAAGGTTAAACCGGTATGATAACGCCGATGAGCGCATAAACCCGTTTAACTTGTCCAAGAACCAGTGCAAAGCTCAGGAATATTGTGATTTATTGAGACTCAACAAGTGGAATAAAAGATATATGTAGGAATCAACAATACGAGACAGCAGAGACTGGCTTAAAACGCCGGAAGAATGTTAAATTTTAAAATATAGAATAAGGGTTTATTTTAGTTAAAAGTTATCTTTTTTTTCTAAACTTTTATTTTAATAATGCAATTTTCCTTTCTTTATCGTGGATAAGTTTCCGGTTTTCACCGGCTTTTATATAAGCAGCCAAGTAATGAAATTCCCTTCAAAAACAAAAAAAAAATATTTATTTGTTTTGTTTCGAAAAAATTTGCCTCTTCAATCGGCATTTAAATTTGCAGTTTTAAATGGCTGAAATCGGTATGACAATGCATTAAATAACTGTAAGTTGCTTAATTGTGGGGTCCATAATGACCAAATAACGTCACTTGTCTATTTATGCCTTGCACAGTTTACCTAAACAATTTCCATTATGAAGTCATTTGCAAATCTTGTGCCAAAATTATTTGTTTTCAGCCTGAATTAGCTGTCTTTGGTTATTTGTCAAAATTAATGTCCATTGAGTGATAGGATTATATAAAAAAGGGGGAGTGTACATCGATATAATGTACCCCTAAACTTTTATTGATTCGATTAGACGACATTAATGCTCGTACCAGTCGCCTTAGGGCATAAAATGGTCTTGAACTTGTTCTATTTTTGTGTATTTTTTTTTAACAAGCACACGCAACGTTATTAACATATTAAAGGGACCTTGACTAGAGGTCTTAATTCTCTTTATTTATAATTTGTTTCGGTATTCTTTAGGCTTAGTGTGCTACAACTTGTTATAGATGATTTATATTTGAGTATCAATGATATTTTCTAAGACAACTGATAAAATAAAATAATATGTATAAATGAATATAAATTTCATTTTTCTAATTTTAGTTAAAACAAAAAACGATAGGCAGAGTTGCAAAGACTCTCCCAAACATCACGTCCTAAACCACATACACACACAAAATGTTGCGTAACACGCCCTTCGGTGCCACGCCCACCTACAAATTACTTCTGGGCTTTGGACTCTGCTCCCTTGGTGGCGCCATGCTCTACGCGTACTTTAAGACTCGAAATGATGAGGAGGAAGAGGACTCAAATAACCAACACCAGGCTTCAAGGACTGCAAGACAAACGGAGGAACAGAAGCCTCAGAAAGAAGTGTGCCTCAAAATCGTTGTGGAACAACGAACATGTGCCCCTGATAATGGGACGGGGTGGTTCCAATATCAAGCTAATTGAAGAAAAGACCCTCGCCAAGATAAGATTACGGTAATTGGATTTGAATTTTATCGACCGAAGAATTCCTCGTTAGCTTTTGGATTTTCAACTAATAATAATCTTATTTTTCCTCTAGGGACAAAGACAGTGGTCACAAATTTTGTGACATTTCAGGCGTTCCCGATGCCGTAAAAGCCGCTCGAGTTCTGCTTATCAAAGAGATTGAGCGGGCACCTGTTGTGAAAGTGGAACTGCAGGTTCCTCAGAGACTTGCCAGCAAACTGAATGGACGAGGTGGCGAGCTCATCCAGGAGATACGCAGTAGCTCACTGGCAAAGCTGAATATTGACCTGAATGGTCGAAATGGAAAGGCTAAGATCACGATTGTCGGCAATCAAAAGCAGGTGAACATTGCTCGGAAAATGCTGGATGATCAGATAGAGGAGGATGAGGAACTGGCACGATCTATGGAGGAAGTGGAGCAGCGTCGCGAACCCCGCCGATCCCCTACTAACAGCATTGCATCGTCCAGTTTGTACTCATCCCAGACATCCTTGAGCTCTCACACTCAACCGAGGGATAAATTGATGGCTGCAAAGGGGGAAGGAAAGCCGATGGAAGTTTATGTTTCAGCTGTGGCCTCACCTACCAAATTCTGGGTACAGCTTATCGGACCGCAGTCCAAGAAACTGGATAACATGGTCCAGGAGATGACCAGCTACTATAGTAGTGCTGAGAACCGGGCGAAACATGTGCTAACTGCTTCCCTATGTGGGTCAGATTGTGGCCGCCGTCTTTAAGTTCGATGAAAAGTGGTATCGCGCGGAGATTGTCGACATTATGCCAAACCAGTACAATCCAAACGAGCAGGTCATCGATCTTTACTTTGTGGACTATGGTGATAGCGAATATATTTCACCAGCGGACATTTGTGAGCTTCGCACCGATTTTCTCACACTCAGGTAAGATCTTCTGCAAAGAAAAAAATATCGAATTATTGATCAATAGAATATTCATTTCTTTAGATTTCAAGCTGTGGAATGCTTTTTGGCTAATGTGAAGTCCACCATCCAAACTGAACCTATTACATGGCCGAAGTCCTCCATTTCAAAGTTTGAGGAACTGACAGAGGGTATGTTTTGATGGTACTTTGAATATTTTTAATATCTAGTCCTTAATCCTTTTTAGTGGCCCATTGGAGGAAACTAATTGCTCGGGTGGTGACTTATAAGGAGCGTCCAAAGGCCACAACCGCTGTGAATTCCGCCGCTAAGGAGGGCACACCGCTACCCGGAGTCGAACTTTTTGACCCTGCAGATAACGCTGAACTAAACATTGGCGATCTGATGATCACCCAGGGATTTGCTTTACCATTGGACAATTCTTATCCGGTGCGATCACGCTCCTCAACGCCCTCGAGTAATAGTGACTCTACTATTGAAGAGCTGTGCGTCAGCAATCCAGTGACTCCTCTCACTCCCCACTCACCCATGTCAATGTCTATTGACGCGGAGAGCATTACGCAGGCGGAGGACGAACTCCTCGCACAGCAGCTGCAACATCTGCAGCACAAACTTAATGGAAATGATTTAAAAACAATTAATCCGGCTAAATTGACAGCAACAGACCACGAAAATGGAAATAACAATAATGCCAACAAACAGACAAATGGCGGTAGCACGCATTAGGAATTCAAATTGTTACTAGTTATTCTCGCCTAATTGTTAATAATATTAAGGCTGGATGAGCAGCTCACTACTTGACGTGTACATAAAAGTATAGCTTTTAAGGAACTTATTTTATAGGTATGGAAGCAAACTGTTTAAATTTATCGCCGCGACTGATCGACATATCCTAGATCCTAAAAGCTGGCGATGGACCGGCACAGATCCTTAATTGTTTATAGCAAGCTTTGCCATGTTACTTATTGTTAGCAAAAACATTTGTACATCAACAAAAAAAAAATACACAAAAGATCACAAATTTATCAAAAGAAATGCATTTTATAAGAACATCAAACTTACGTGTATTGTTTTGGGCCTCTCTCGGGTTTCTATAAGTCTTTAAAGATGTTTTGAATTTATGACTTTAATTTTTTTTTTTGTCAAAAGAAATTTATTGAGTAAAAAGATTTGGTTCTTGTTTTGATTATTCTAAAATAAAAACTAGCCTAAATTAAAAAAATACTGAGTGAAAATGATATTCCACATTTTTGGGATAAAAACATTTACAGGCTAAATTAATATATTGCAAAACCCGAGAAGCAGGCCAGTTTTACAGTCTGGTTTGGGAGATATACCCCCGCTTAGATTAGAATATCGTTTGTGGTATTTATAGCTATGGGAGGCAGGTATATAGCTCGGATCTGACTGCGCAGGCGTGCAATTTCCATGTCGTCCCGCTCCATTTCCCTGATGAGTTGAGAAAACTGGACTAATCCCTCCCGGTTTCCAGGAAAACCATGACCCTTGATGACCTCCAATTGTAGTTGCATTACTAATGGAAATACCTAAAAGAGATTGCACTTAATATTTTAGAGTATTATAATTACTTATTATTTATTTACGTGCTGCATCATGAGAATCATCTCTTTCCCAGCGGATGCCTTTGCTTCTGAGAGTTTCTTGGAGTTTTCAGGCTGATTGACACATCGTATAATGTCCATGAGTATTTGCTTGGCACTCTCGTTGTTGAAATTGGCCAAATAGGACATAGTAAATGTTTAAGTGGCAGTGTTTAAGACCAATTATGAATAATCAACAAATATCACTGTAGGTTTTGTTTTGTATTTTTGTTAGAGATGCAACTATCGGTAAGATGTAATATGAAATCAATGTGTTGAATTTTTATCATTAAATTTTAATAATTCACTTTTTTATTGTTATCGATAGCTATAAGGCCTGTAAGGCGACAGATATCTAAAGGCAATTTAAAAAAATTAAAGAATTATCATTCGAATTAAGGACCACTAAATTCTACCACTCTTAACAGGCCCTTAACAGCAAAATGGAACGTTTTCCAACACTTCATTCTCTGGAAATATTTATGTCACTTTGGATAAATCGAAATCCAGGAAAATATCTACAGTTTATGAGATAATTATTTTACTTTTAATTAGGTTGTTTAAATATTAATGTTTAGTATCTTCGTTTGAGTTGATAACGGTGTCACTCTTCATCGATATATATCGGCCAAGATTTAGTGTTAGAAAGTGCAAAAAGGATGTCACGTCGGAACGTCGAAAGCAACGACAAAAGACACAAATAATAAGAAAAAGCTTATTTCGCGCAGGCACTCGCATATTTCTAGTAAATGCAAGGCCATGCAATAGAACATATAGTACGCGAAACCAAATTATTAGATAAATTGTCGACTTTTCAACGCAAACACCCCGAGCAACAACAACGAAACGCAGTTTAGGGCCACTGCATTTTTGCGAGAGTGTTAAAAGTGCGTGTGTGCAAAAGAATACAAAATAAAGGGGTCGCAAGAGGAGCAGTGAAAACCACAACACACAAAAACACAAAACACTTACACAGAAAAAAACGCAAACTCCTGCACCTACACACACACTCATAAAACTCACAACGTCGAGTCAGCAAATTGTGCCACACACACAAAACAGAGAAAGAGGAAGAAGACTACCAGCAAAAAAAAATTGAGGTGCTCTCACATCTCCAAGACTCCATCAACGAATTGCCCCATTTTTCGAATCTCCAAATCTCCGGAATGAATCGCTCCGACGGTTTGGTGCGGCGCGCTGTGAAATTCCGGGAAAACGGAGGAGCTGAGGGCGGACTAAATGCCAATACGCCGGATGACAATCAGGATGCACTGGATAGTTTAAAGGATCAAGAAGACAACATCGACGATGGCGATTCTAAGGAAACAAGACTAACGCTCATGGAGGAGGTCCTGCTGCTGGGACTCAAGGACAAGGAGGTTGGTGTGGGCAGAGGAATACCTTTTGCCCCCTATATCTCTTTAGGATCCACTAATTAATTAGTTTCTTTCACAACAAAAACAGTGCTTCTTCTTCACCTGTTAACTGTCGACTCTCTGTCGTTTTCTCTCTTTCGCAAGCTTTTGTTTGCCCTTAAGTGCATCGCGGTCCATCTTTACGCAGGGGCTTAGTTAAAAGGGGCCATTAACAAAGGGTTAATGGCTTTTCAGAGTAACTTTAGAGGAATGTTGTTAAAGTCGAACGGGCATAAGTGGAATTTAGCACTTACACGACATAAAGTTAAATGTCTTACGTCCATCCCTTCAATTTATTTTAAAAGATCTATCAATTCAGGCCTCGGAAGCCACCAATATAGTACCAACTTTTAATGAGCTTTCCCAGTTTGTTAAACAATACTTTATAAAACCCCTTGACCAGACTGGTGAGTAATGCACAATTAGCAATCTTGCTAGCCACATTTGTTGTTAATGGTCTTATCAGCCGTTTTTCTAATCTTATAAACTGAAAATGTTTTGGCCGCTGTCCACTGGTATTCATTTTGTTGTACTATGTGTATCTTTAAATAAAAGTATTTACATATCTATATAGTTCAATTTATATTTTCCGAAAAAATTCTAAATATCATTTAGTTACTTTCCACTTTTAATTAAAAAGTCTTCCCAGAATTCTTGACTACCTTGGTAGTTCTTAAGAGGATAGCACTTAATGATATTTCTTCGATTAGATAATCGAAATAAAGGTAGTGTTGGCTAAAAATATTTTCAAATTCAATCATTGCTCTTTAAAAACTTCACTCAATCGAGTTCGTCTCGTAGCACTGCTGAGAGCATTCCATCAAACGAGTTTTCCAATAAGTGGTTGATTTGCATATGATTGTAATATTCATAAATCTGCGTATAATTTTGGTATGATGACCGTAGAAATGGCGAGTCGGTAACCATACATACCCCATTATAGCAAGCCGGCAGAATCCCATTTTCTCCATTGAATTCGTTTTTTGTATTTCACTGGCCTCACAGCTTTATCTCAATTTGCTGTCCGCATGTACCCTATAGGAATATGGCATGTGTGTGTCTTTGTGGGAGACAGCACGTCTATTTGTTTTCATTATTTTGCCCGCAGTGTATCTGTGTGTGCCCACATACCCCAATCCCCCAACCCAGCAATGGAAAAACGAGATGGAAACAGTGGGACGTGTGCTTGTTGCTCAGTTTTGTTTTATATTTTTGTTCTTTGTGCTTCTTATCAGAAACATTTCATCCATTTGGTTAATTGTTTGAGGAAGTACTACCAAAACTTCTCCCGTTTCCCTCTTGGCAATTATCTGCTTCCCACATTTCTTTGAGTCTTTTTTATCAGCTAAACGTCATTCATTTGAAAATTACTATGTACTTGCTTGGTACGTATGTATGTATTTATCTTTACTCTCTATTATAAACATTTTAAAATCAACTAATGTTTCTGATAGGCGACGTGTTCTTTTATTGAACCTGCAAATGATTTACTTTTTATACAATTCTTGAGTTTTACCTTATCAATCATAAAATTGTTTATGTAAATCGTTTTAGTACAATAGATTATTGTTTAGTACGTGATGTTTTCGAATGTTTGTTATGACAACATTTGTTCTAGCTTACTTTGAGATGTTCATATGGAAATTAAAGTACAAATCATATGTTCTTTTAGTATTTCTTTTAGGCGTTCTCATTACAATTACACATTTTTACACCTTTTTAGGTAAGGTCTGGACAAACACAAGTGTTTAATGTTTAAACAACTGAATATTTTCGTCTGAGAGCTTTACGTTCATGGCAACAACTTAATTATTAATTTATTCCACTTTTAACACATGTGAAAAACCAACAGTTTTCATTTGTTTGATTCGCAGACTTTGACAAATAAATTTCGAAACCTTGAAACTTGAGAAAGTAACCTTTCGTTATGGTTTTAAAATAATAAATAAAGGTGTATTTTTAACTCAAGATTATAAACTCTTATAAGAAATATACCTTGCGCTGGATTAATATTTCGATTCTGACACAGTTTTACAATAACTATTAATATATATGTTAATATAAGATTCCCATCAAGACCCATATAGATAAAATCATGTAATAACATTTTTAATTATATTCAGGGCTACACATCTTTCTGGAATGACTGCATATCAAGCGGTTTGCGCGGATGCATTCTCATAGAACTTGGACTGCGGGGTCGTGTGATGATCGAGAAATCCGGAATGAGGCGACGTGGCCTATGTACAAGGTAAATATACATAAAAAAAGAAAAAACATCTTTAAAGAATAAATTACAAAACAATTTGGTAATTTTAAAGAAAATTGATCCTGAAATCGGATCAGCAAACGGGCGATGTTTTACTCGATGAGGCACTTAAACACATTAAGGAAACAGATCCACCAGAGACGGTTCAGAGTTGGATTGAATATCTTAGTGGTATGTATATTGCATACAAAATTAACCAATTTACCAAGGATATTTTATATTGCTGATTGATTTGACAGGTGAAACTTGGAATCCGTTGAAATTACGCTATCAGCTGAAAAATGTACGCGAACGTCTGGCTAAAAATCTGGTGGAGAAGGGTGTGCTCACAACGGAAAAGCAAAATTTTCTACTCTTCGATATGACGACACATCCGCTGAGCGATAATGTTGTAAAATGTCGCCTAGTTAAGAAGGTCTGTGGACATAGTTCAAAGAAAGAAGGAATATTAATCCTAATTGTATATTTTCAGATACAAGATTCTGTGTTGTCCAAATGGGTGAATGATCCACAGCGCATGGACAAACGGATGCTAGCGCTAATCTTCCTGGCGCACGCCAGCGATGTGATTGAGAACGCCTTTGCGCCGCTGAATGATGATGATTACGAAGTGGCCATGAAGCGGGTGCGCGAGTTGCTGGATCTCGACTTCGAAGCGGAGTCGGCCAAGCAAAATGCGAACGAAATTCTTTGGGCAGTGTTCATGGCGTTTACGAAATAGATGATCCTCTCCGCTCCTCTCAATAGCACACACCCACACACCACATATAAAAGCCCCCAAAAAACAGAAATACACACCCACATCTGGAATACATTTTGCTGCTTTTGTTTTAGAAACTTTTCTGTGAGTGGAACCGAATCGGGCGATAGGATTTTCTTAAATGGCAACCACCCCAAATATCAGTTTCAGTAATATATATTTTTTAATAAGACTATAAAGCAGCCATAAACCCTATATAAATATATTTTTAACAAAATTGAAATAGTATCAATCAACTGCTAGATATTTTTGTCAATTGTATTTTTCCTCTTCTTTGAGTACTTTTTGTTATGCCAATGTTTTCCAATCATAAACAGTAAGTTGTGTTCCACGGCAAATAGAGTGTAGTTGATGGACTTCTCTTGCAATGCTAATCAAAAAATATAAGACGGAGAATTCGAAGCTGCAGCATTGTTTTTGTAATTATATATCTAACACTAATTGTAAGCGCCAACAAAAAAAAAACATGATAAAGTATGGGCAAGCTGCGTGCTGATATCTTTTGTCAAATATCCTATATATATATTTTAATTCAACTTTCCAATTGTGTTTAACTGTCACGTATATTCGAGCCCTTCCCCAATTCATTTGATTGCGCGGCGAAAATCAGTTCAAAACGTTTCTCCTGCTCTGCAATTTACCTTAGTACGTTCGAACATAAGTACGCACCCACCCACATGAACAGACAGATAAATCCACACGGAGCGACATTCAATCTAGGCAATATTTTAATTTAAATTGTTATTGAATTTCGGGAACATTGAAATTGAAAAAAAATCTTTTCTAACTGCTATAAAAAAATATTAGAGAACGACGATAAGTGGACAACAGAAGAAAAGAAAAAATTATGTAAATGTAAAATGTGCACGTCAAATAATAATAATTCTTAGATATTTAAAGGCCTAATAAAATACAAATATAAAATATATATATATCTGACGCAATATTGTGAATTTAATACAATTTGAGTGTTCTCTTAAGTTAATAGAGGGATAAATATAAAATGGTAAAAGGAAAAATATAAACAGAACGAAAAAGAGAGTTTTTATAAAAGGTGTTGAACAAAAATATTTAAGTTGGGGTAGTTTTTTTGGAATTCCTATTTTCTCATTTATTTATTCACATCATCGAGATTTGATATTAAAGTTTTGTCGATTTTTCAAGTCAATGTACACTGTTTTGAAATTGCATATTTTTATAAAGAAACCGAATTTATAAAAGTCTACAGTTCCCTTTTCAAGGTAAACAACGTCAGATCATAAAGAGACACAAAGTTGACCCTCCTTGATATTCCTACACTTGACCTTTGAGAGATCGAAGTTCAAAGCACCCTGTCCGAAGGAAATACTCCCAATAAGTTTAAGTTCTTCCGTACTTCTGAAGTATATAAAATTGTGATCATTATTAACAGGCGGTTCGGCATATCAAACAAACTAATCTCTTAGGTATAAAGTACTGAATGACGCTTTATTTTTCCTATTACACAAAATCGATTTGATAGTAGGTTTATATGTTTCAGGTAATAGGGTTTTCCTATTAAATATCTTTATCCAAAAAGTAAATCCATTTTATTCCATTCGCTTTTTGATAAAGAGTTTTTATTCCTTTTTCGTTCTCAATAAATGTTTTCTTTTCGTTTTGCACAGTTTTTGTATTTCTTTCGATAGTAGGGGGGCAATATACCATATAAGTCGAATAATTCTCACACGAAACATTTAGGTTATAATATAATAATCTTTCAATGACATAAAGTATGATAAAAAGCAGGGCGCAGGGCACTCGTTATTGCAAGAATACATTAAAATTAACATCGGTTAGGCCAAAAAAGGAAGTAAATAAATCAATGCTCTTAAACTATCCATTACAATCATATAGTAGTTTTCAACTGTGGGAAATTTGCAAGTAATTTGTAATTACAATTAAACATATGCATGGAATTTCATAAGAGAATAATTTTTCTAAGTAATTTTGCAGAATAGCAGTTGCCTCGTTTAACAAATGTTTTGTAATTAGCGCATCGTTTAAAAATACATACATATATATATATATATATTCAAAGGAAAACAGTGGAAAATATGAAAAGTTTAATAAAATTAATGGAAGAATTGATACGATCGAAATGATAGCCATTAATTAATATATATGTATATGTAGTTTTATGTAATTATAATTGAAGTTCCACTAGCTGTCAGGCTCCAGTTCTTGCTATTGATCCTGCTCCTCTCATTTGCCGAGGCGACTGCGCATGGACGACAGGCGACGCATCCGAGCTCTGTTTTGGGAATAGCTGTCCGCCCATCGCTGCTCGGGTTTGTAAGTGCCAGAGTAGCCGGCGTGCTAACTCAGCAGATCCTTGATTTCCTTGTGCATGTGACAAAGGAAATCCACGTAGCTAGCCGAGCCGTCTGTACCGCGATCCTCGACCAGGAAGTGTCGGAAAACGCTCTCCAGTTTGTCGTTCTGTCGCAGCCAGGTGATCTATAGAAGTTTAATGTTATATTAAGTTAAAGAGAAAAAACATTTTTTTAATAACAAGAAAGTACATACCCTCATGTATCGCGATCGTTCGCTCATGATCTGCTCTAGGATGCCGTGTATGCGCTTGGCCAACGGTGTCTCTGGCACAATGTTGAACCGCTCCAATGCAAGCTGTTGGAGACCCTGGACGCCAAAGACACTTTGCACAAAGTTGGGGGATAGGGCCTGGCCCAGCCAGACGAACAGATGCACTCCATTTTCCAGGATATAAGCGCCATCTTCTTGCGTTTTTTCGTGCGTGCAACGAACAGGTGTTGGCAGATCTGTCTCTTCGGGTACGACATTGTGGATGGGAATGAAACGTGGATACAGGTAGCTGACGGATTGATTCAAATCCATGGACAGAATAAACTGGATAACATAGGATCGATCATCCAGCGTCATGTCAGAACCACCGGAAATAGCATCGTTTTTGAGCAAACACGAGGCGTACAGCGGCAGTAGCTTGAGGCACTCAGGAAGGATAAGTTGGCCAGCGGAGGTGGGCGAAGTGCAGTGCTTACGATAGCAGGCTAAGATCTGTGCTGATCGATGAATCAGGTTATCCTTCACCTGTTTGGGAGAGTGTTCCATCAGCTTGAAGCAGGCCTGCTTGGCGAAGAACAGCATCATTGCATCCAGGTCGCAGCTCTTGAAGACATCAGCAATCGTCGTGGTCACCCGCAGAGCCAGATTAAGGACACGCAGACGTCGCTGCCCGCTGCACGAGGTGTACAGCAGTGCCACTTGTAGGTATATATTCTCCTCCGGCGCCAGCTTGTCGTCGTGTTTGATCTCAATACTCACGGACTTGGTGGCGTCTGCGAAACAAACAAAAACATTATTTTGTTTATTCATAATAAAATCAGAATAAGGGTAACATACCTATACTGGCTAGCTCCACATCAGTTGTGTTTGACATAAAGAAGTGGCCATAGAACTCCGTCGGTCGAATGCCCGCCGATGTGCGCACCCTCATCACTGCATCAAAGGCAATCGGACGCGATACGTTCTTAATGATATCCTCGATCAGTCGCTTGCCATCCACGTCCGCTTGGAAGTAAGTATACTTAAACACTTCACCACCAGTTAAACGAGAAACCTGTCCAATCGTGGCCAAATCGATGTAGGCATTGTTAAACACAAACAAATCGACCGAGCAGCCCTGCTGGACGCACTCCTGACCCAATTGGTTATAAGCAGTAGTTTGCGGGGTGAGCACGGTTTTTTCCTTATCAGTGCCCAGGAGTTTCCGGTCATCGCGATTCTTAAGTTTGCCCGGTGCCTCCGCAATTGGCAGCGTTGAGTTGAACACCAGCAGTTTTCCTGATGCATTGGATGCCTTAAGTGCCTCCAAACCAGCCTGAATGGCAGGGTATAGAATCGTTTCCGTTTCCTTGGTATCCGCAAACATACGAGGGATCTCTTCCATCAAAGCATCGATTACAGCTGCCGATTCGTCTGGGTGACATAAGAATCCGTCGAGCAGAGGCATAAACATTTCCTGGACATCGCCCACAACCATCATCTGGGGCTGGGCCAGACTGCTCTTGATGTTGTAGAAATGCACGGTACTATTGTACGTGATGAAACCCACTCGGACCTTGGATTTATCTTGTCCCTGGTCTACAGGCAAATGCTTGAGTATGTTCTTGATCTGGGAGCACAACAGATGTACCAGCCCCGACTTCACGGTGTTGTAAGACACGTCGATAATGAAGATAAAGGCGGGAATCTCGGGGGGTGTGTTGTTCTGAGGAATAATTTAAATATATCTTTGATATTAGAAAAAATAAAAAATAATTGACATTTCTCGAAAGAACGCAAAACGGAAAAAAGAATAACACCATATGTTGGACATGCACGGTGAAATATTGTTTAGAAAAAAACTATTTTTAAAATCATTATGTTCTGTTTCCTACGAAAGAGTTGTCTAGTATTTCCATCTAGCTTACCCGACAGTAATCCTTGGTGGCCAGGAACTCGTAGGTACCCAACAGCAACTCTGGTCGTTCATGCTTATCCACACGCTGACCAGTGTGGTCCAGATGCTGGTAGTAGTCCGGATGAACTGGAATATAGAGAATTGTTATCTTTGATGTTTATTCTCTCATCCAGGAAAACTTACCCTCCGAAGTGACCTTGCACATCAGACACTGGAATCGTCGGCCGGCATCCACAAACTGCATGTTTGGCGACATATACGCCTTACATCTGTTACAACGAATTGGTCCCATGTCGCCAAAGTTAACAATCGGTGGCTCCAATTCTCCCTCGGCGGTTTTGGCCAACGGCGATATGTTGAGCGTCAAGGGCAGAGCTGTGGTCTTCAGAAGATCTCCTGTATTGGGGATGCAGTACAACGAGGAGCGCAGGAAGCGCGGTGAAGAGTTGCCCTGGTCATGGACAACGAATTTCGTAGTCACCAATGGAGGCAGCAATCCTGGTTGATTGGTCACAAAAGGTCCGCCAGCAAGACGCTGATTCTCGATCATCACCTGGATGGGATTTCGGCATTTGGTCAGGATCCAGGCGTCGGGGCTGTGGTGCTTGCTGATACATGTTTCCTGCACCTGGCATGGGAGGTTGCTAAATTAAACCACAAGTAATTAGCCAGAAATTTATTACAACAAAAACTGTATGCTCACATTAAAGCCAGGACGTCCGGGCTGTCCTGGAAATCCGGCACCTGGTTGAGGTGGATATCCGGGTGCTCCTGCCTGCTGTCCCGGCTGTGGTGGATATCCTGGCATGGGCTGCTGGCCGGGCTGTGGCGGATATCCCGGCTGCTGACCCGGATAACCCGGTTGTGGTGCTCCGAATTGCGGCGGAACCGCTGCTTGTTGTCCTGGAAGTGGTGGTGGTGCTCCAGGGAAGCCTCCGGGAGCCTGGCCTGGAAAGCCACCGGGATATCCGCCTGGCTGGGGTGCTCCATAAGGTGCCCCTTGCTGCGGCGGCAAACCTGGTTGAGATTGGGGCGGCAAACCAGGCTGCTGTGGGGGAAATCCCGGCTGCTGCAATGGTAATCCTGGTTGCTGTACAGGTTGTTGGCTGCTGTTGTTGTGGCGGTAGTCCCGGTTGCGTATACGTCGGAGGTGCTGCTCCAGGTGGTAATTGCGGTTGTCCCGGTCGCGAGCTGGGAACTCCAAATGGACCGGAAACAGGCTGGGATGTGGGAATTTGACCAGGAAGTGGTGGCTGTCCAGGTAGTGGAGGTTGTCCGGGAAGCGGTGGATGAGAAGCGGTTCCTGCTCCAGGAATTGGAGGCTGACCAGCAGGAGGTGCTCCAGGTGTAGCCGCTTTCGGAGGCGGCATGTGCGGCAATCCCGCCAAACTCGCGCTGTTCAAGCTCATCTGATTAATTCCACTGGCGACGCTCTGTGGGGTACTGCTGGGAGGAAGTGCTCCGTTGACATAGCCGCCCGCTTGCGCTGGTGGCGGAGCACCGAATGCTGCATTGTTGTTGTTGGTCGGAGGTGGCGCCGCATTAGAGTTGAATTGATTGAAACCGGTTGTTGGTGGTGCAGCAGCTGGGGAGCTCCTTGGGGTAATGGTGGCTTAAGGGGATTTACTCCAGCTCCACCACCGCCTCCCACACTCAAACCGCCCATCGACGTGGCCAGCTATAAAAGAGATTGGTTTTTAGTAAGTTCACTTCATATTTTCTTATCAACAAGCTCAGCTTCACTATTCTATTATGAAATCACGGATGACCTCTTTTAGTGAATGAAGTGCTCTCACTTTATCAGGCGGAATTTGTATATTTCATAAAAGTTAGCGTGATACCAAAATTCATGGCAAAACATTGGTTAGCCCTAAAAGTAGTATAATTTTTGTCCGTACAAAAAAACACAATAATCTGTACCAGATCGTCATTTTAATAACTGTTGTTTGAAGAGGTCAAGGTGGTCAAGTAGTTGGTAAGATTCACGTCAGCTTAAAATCTTTACAATAAACGAAATACCGGACTGGAATGTTGTCTACTGTAGTCAATCTAGTCTGCTTAGAAATAACATTATCCTGTTATGATAATCTATTTAAGTTTTATCCTATTCTACATGCACATTACATATTATGTTATTGTCAAACATAATTTCTCGATAGATTTTTCATATACAAGATGTAAACCTACTAAGTCCTGGTCTGCCACCAGATTCTTTTAGGATAAACATTTATTGGTGTCCCAATCACCTGCTGCTGGTAATTCCCATTGAGGTACGGCTGTTGTGCCGCCGACGTTGGTGGTGGTGCTCCGTATTGTGGTTGTTGTTGCTGCTGCGGCGGAGGCAATTGTTGTTGCTGCTGCGGCTGTTGTTGCGGTGGCCAGCCTCCGGAAATCGGCGGTGGAGCCCCAAACTGGGGCTGTTGCTGGAATTGCGTGGGCGGTGGCCCGTACATATTCGGATTCATTTCTGGGCCGGATTGGTCACCGTTTTTAATAATGAGAGGCTGAAAGCTAAACCACCAAACAACTTTCACGCGAAGCGAAGAGAAAACACACGGGCTGGCTCAAAGTTCGCCACGGCGATTTGACAACTTTGGAGGCTTCTCGGCCGGATTCCTGACCACTAACTCCACAATTTTTGCCACTCAGTGTTGGCCTCAACTCTCGACGGCCGCGACGCACGAGTCGATGATTGAAAAACAAAAATAATTTCGAGCTAAACGAACTTCCACGTCAGTTCCCTATTTCGATTTTTTGCTCTTTTTGCTTTGCCACGTAGGCTATCGTTAATCGGTAATAGGGAATCGGTCATCTATCGGCTATCGTTGCACTCGTTTTGCTTGCTATCGTCAATCGTTATCATGATGGTGCTAACAGAGCTCCTGTTAACGGGCAGATACTGTTTATGTTGAATGCTGAGAAGGTGGCGCAAAATTCTTAAGTGACGTCACATAAATTGCTTAGAATGAAAGAAGCTTTATTTTCATTTTTTGTCAAATTAATTTGAATAAAATAATTAGAATTATATGGGGGGCTTTAAAAATCAACTCAAATCAATCAAATTTTATTTATTTAATATTGTCTGAAAATTTATATTTACAATATCAATAATTTTAGTGATACGATCTTACGAAATTTTTGTTTTCTGTTTATCTTAAATTACCTAATCTTTAATTATTCTTTAAAATCCATTAATATCTTATCCGTAGGAAGGGTCACTAGTGGCTCAGAAATTTCCTGAAATCGACCTGCCCAAGCCTTGGTGTCAACCTTAAAAGAGTTTTTGTCGAACTGCACCACGGGTCGCAGTGCCTTATTAAATTGCAGTCCCGTGAAACGCTCTATTTCGTCAATCTTTGCCCGATGATTACTTAACTTTCCCCCCACCGTTCGACTGTTTTCGATGATGAAACATTCCATAAATGGATATAAATTCGGTATTTTACTTTCCACGATCAGGACCTTAAAGTAATGCGATGGAACTGGCATCGGTATCCAATCGAAGACCTCATATTTCATGCTCCATTTGCCATTCTCGTGACAGGAGGGTGTATAAATCGGACCAGTGTAACAGTAGACTGAGCCATACTCTTTAGTCTTGCTAGACACATATTTCTCTAGATCATTCCATATCCTTCTCTTAAAGGCTTTACAGATCTTCATCGAACCGCAGCTCAAGACATAGACATCATTGTAGCGCAGATTCATAGTGCTATAGCCACCTTCATCAGAAGATATCTTCTGGTAATTTCCAACGAAATGCTCACAAATCCATCTTGGAGCATTCGTGCGTATATCTTGGGAAACTATATACTCCTTATGGACGTACAAGTTCTCCGTGCTAGGCAGTCCGTATTTGATTAAGTCCAGCAAATCAGTTGTAGTTGTCGAATCGGTATTTATCATTAAAATAGCGTTAACCAAATCACAAATCGGTGATACTATAATCTCTCGGAATTTGTCAGCCAATGAAGTTGAACGATTCCACAATCGGGTCTCATGATCTGTACTAAAGGTAGAAAGCTTTTGTGGAAATAGAATAACTTTAAAACATTTTAGATCAAGTATTAACACTTACCATGGGATATAACTTATGTCGGTAGTGATAAACATAAGGATCCTTTCGAATCTGCCGAAAAAGTTGCCGTATTGACACTTCTTGTTGGACAAATGCTCCGCATACAAATCCTGTAAATCCTGCCAGGGCATAAAGGGCCCACTGTTGAGCTCTTGATTCGTTCATGGACATAGTTCAAGTTTACAATAATTTGGATTACTATCGTTTGTTAGTGTATATCAATATTAATTTTATAAAATTTACTGAGGTTTTAGAAAAAGATTGCTTGCTTTTACATTCCTTATTAAAAGCATTTAAAATTTTTTTTACTACTTTCAGCTGAACTCCCGAAAAACCTGCGACTCACTAGGATAATTACTGCCAAATAAGGCACTTCTCCTCAATCCATCGAAGAAATTGAGGCCTGCGTAGTGCTCAATCTCCCGGATGTCACAGAGGAAGGATCGAAGTGGCAGACCATCTGGTATGGGAGCATTTGGTAGCACATAGCCCTCCATATAGGGTTTACCCAGATGAAGCTTTGACTCCACCATGATTACCTTAAAGAAGTGCGTTGGAACTGCCACCATATTCAGACCAATCATTTCATACTCCACACCCAATTTGCCTCCTGGTCTTTGTTTGGGTTTATAAAGAGGACCAGTGCAAACGAAAACCGATCCAAATCGATGGACCAGATTTCGAACATATCTTTCTAAATTATTCCATGCCCCTCGATTAAAACCTTGACCAATTTGTGGGGCAATATTCGTTAGAAAGAATGTATCCTGGCAGTGATTTTGCTCTAAATGATGATTTCCAGCGGCTGCCAAGTGTCCTCGATCGAAACCCGGATCTCCGATAGTCGGTCAACTCTGAGCGGAAGTTGGATGGAACACTCATATCTGCCTGGTATGGATTTTGACCGCGTCTACCCCGATTGGAATGGATGTTGTCCACCTGGAGATGTTCACACACCCAATGGGCCACTCGATTCCGACGATCATAGGAAAGCACAAAGTCACTGTAAAGCCGTAGATCGTCTAGGCCTGGAAAACCGTATTTCATGATTTGTCTCATTCGGTGATCGGCTTCCTCGTGGGTCTCAAAGAAAGAAAACTGAATATATTTTTATTATTTTTAAGATTATTTGTATTTTTTATTTAGTTGTATTTATTCCCTTACCACTTCATTAATTTTTGGACTAACATAGTAGGCATAAGGATCTTTTTGTATAATTTCCTGTAAACGTTTTCTGGCATCCAAATGCTGAAAATACATTCCGACCACAAAGGAAGCACAGAGACCGGTTACTCCTAGGACTAAGCCAAATCCCAGGAGCTGCCATTTTCGGTCCATGAATGGTGTAAAATTACCCACTTTAAAGGTAAAAACTACTAGTTTAAAGGATTTATCATGGCTAACGTTGTTATATGTTTGATTTTAACTACCTTAATATAATTTAAACATACAGACTTTTATTTAATTTGTATTACTAAGTAAAAACTAGAAACTGACATGGAATTTAGCCGTATTACTTAGCATTGGCAATATTACTTTTTATAGGATTATTTACAGAATTTGTTAGAGGACCAATTACTGGGTTGGTTACTGGATTGGTTACTTGGTTGTTGACAAAGTTACGGTCCAGGCCTTCGAAAAACCTTAATCCAGTGGCATTTTCTATATCCCGGATATCACTGAGAAGGGTCTTCAGTTCGATATTATTGTTCAGCGGAGTGTTAGGCATCACATAGGCCTCGGCGTATGGTATGCAATCCCTCTCAGTCTTTGGATCGATGACTAAAACCTTAAAAAAATGAGTCGGTACCGCCACCATGGTTCTCTCTTCCGATTGGAACTCCACAAACCAATTATTCGTCTTAACTTCGCGGGGCAAATAAATGGATCCGGTATAAACAAAGACGGTTCCATGTTTTCTACTCATATCGTTGACGTACTGCAGCAATCTATCCCAAACCGTAAAATTGAAGCCTCTGTTAAGAAAAGGTTTGATATTGGAAAGGAAGAATACACGAGATGCCTCAGAATGACTAAAAGCACCAGCTGGCGTCACAGATGAGGAATCCCCATAGACAACGCGATTCGATAGATCCACGCGTTCACACATCCACTGAACAGCGGAGTTTCGTCGATCAAAGGAGGTCACAAAGTCAAAGGTCTCATTTAGACTGATATCATTTGTGCTGGGAAAGCCGTACTTCATGATTCCGCCTAACTTGTGACAGTCATCGGAATCCATGTCTATATCTGAGCTATCAGCTCTTACAGTAAAGATACCCAACTAGAAAAGTAGTTATTATTATAAATTATTTTAAATATATATCCCCTACCAATCCGTAAAGTTTCCTTCTAATAAAGTAAGCATGTGGATTTCGTTGCTCCAATTTCTTAATCTTTCGCAGTACATCAATGTGCTGGTAATAGGCTCCCAAGGCGAAAAAGATCCGGCAGTGGCCAATATACCAAGTATGCTCTTCACTGGCATTTTCATCCATCAATTTATCATTTACGGCAATTTAGAGAAACTTCAATTATATTTGGATTGTATAGACAATAAAACCTATGACTTGTGTATGAAAACTAACTTTGTTGTCCATTAAATTGGAAAATACTAACTCGAAAGACCTGACTTTTCCTGCAGTTAATCTTTAAAGTTTCCATGTCCAAGTTCAGACTTGACTGCACTTGCCAACTGCATTAAGTCAATAGAAAAAGTTGCAGTCATCGTTGTCGAGTCAAAAACTAAAAACTAAAAAAGTCCTTAGGACAAAACATTCCCCATTCCAGTTTGCCAGTGACCCCTCCCTTGCCCCCTTGAACCACGTAATAAGCGTTTTGGGGGGCTATGCCTGACTAAACCAAAAGCGGCGTCAAGATTTATTCTCGAAATCTCGTCGTACTTTGTTATGCTTAAAAATGTTAGTTGTGGATTTACAGTTTTTCCGTTTTCGGCCAACAAAGTTTTCCTTCCCCTGATGAAACTTTTGTGCTGTTAAGTGATGGAAAAGTGGGAAGGAAAGGAGAGGATTGTTATTTGTAAAAAGGCATTTAATATAAGAGTTTTCTCACATAAAAACTATGAAATTATTTTGTTGATTATAAAAAATAATGTTTTTAATGTTTTCTTTTACTTAAAATACTTTTATAAAACCTAAAACATTTTAAAGACAAAGGAACTTCCTTAAACACCACCCCCCTTTGGTCAACTATTTGTAAGTAAAACTTAGGAAAAACTTTTTTCGACACATGACAAAGGTTACCAGGAAAAACGCCAAGGTGCAGTAAATTTTATAGGTTTAGAAAAATGTGTTCTAGACTCCAAGTATCCAGTGACCTTTGACCCAGGAACCGAATTCAGATTTCTCCCTCCCAGCTCCACAATTTCCACTTCACATCCATTTCCCATTTTAGTTAGCTGCCAGGCATTGCCAATTAATTTCCAACATCTAATTGGTGGTTGGCCAAATTTATTAGTCCCTTGGCGATAGGAGGGGCAGCGGGGGACGTGTTTGTCTTGCCCCTCGGATCTGTTTGCATATTGATTGATGCCTGGAGGCCCTTTTGACAATCTAAGGTGCACTGTATACCTCATTCGAGGCTTCGTTCTTGCGGATTTTCTAATCAACAAGGCTCGCCCAAATTTGCATAATTAAAGCGTTTTCCATGTGGCTCAGGTGAAAAGTAAGGCAGAGGCACGCCCTCTTGCTTTTCCAGCTTCTTTGCCAGGCGAAAAATTGACTCGCTAAGTGAGTGAAAATTTGTCGCCTCATTTGAGTTTGGATTAATGAATTATGCACTCTGGGGCTGCTTAATTAAGCGAGTTTCGAATGTGATTAGGGCCAGGCAATTAGCCGATAGGACTGAAATTTCATTTCTGCGATAATCATTTGCTGACTGACAGCCATAAAAATCATGCCCGAGGATTTAAAAAAAAAAAAACAAGCAAACTCATTACGAAGCCTCCTTTTTTCAGGTTTACACAGCAGGTCAACTTAATGGGGTAATTAACTTATCTGGGTTAGAAAGGGTGAAGCGGTTAAAATTTTATGTGCTTTTCACTCGAGAATTAGGGAAAACATGTGCCGGGGGATGTTAATTAAGGACATAAGGTTAATAAATTATTACTTTTTTATTTAGCAGCAATTTCTTTTGGGTTTTTCTAGGTGGTATTTTAAGGGTGAAGCCTTACTAAGAAGGTTATCAATGCTTGTTAGTTTTGGGGTTTAATTTATAGATTTTAAATTGACAAACTATTAGTATTATATGACCAAAACTCTCTTTTCTAATTACTTACTCTATAATCTTTTTTTTTTTTTGCAATTTTAAAGTCTTCTTTGCAAAGTTTAAATTTAGAGTTTAAACTTTTTTACTTAGTATAAATATAATCTTAATAAGCCAATGTGATTATTAAGAAGCATTCCCCTCTTAGGACTTTACTACTAATTATAATATTAAGCATTTTCATTTTTCAAAACATTCCCTTTTTTCTTTTGTTATTTTCAAGATCATTGATCATTAGTCATCCTTCTCTTCTTTAATGATCATTATTAGGAGTTAACACTTTTGCTTCTGGCGCTGTTCGCCAATAATTAGCGCGATCTTCAAAAGAAAGAGAGCAGAGCGACAGCTGATGATCAGTAATCTCTACAGTGAGCTGTTCTCGTCTCTCTCTCTCTCTGCACTCCTAAATGGAAACGATGGAGAGTTTTGTCAGTTAGTTGGGCACGCACCATTGAGCAGGTCAGATCTGTGCCAGAACTCATTCCGCCGGAGTGCTCAATCTATAACGGTAGAGATCGGTCATCGCACGCGGTAGGCACTACTCAAACGGTCAGAAGCCCCTCGGGTGATATCTTGGAATAACCATGATCTCGCAGCTGGGACGGATTAGCATTATTAGTGCGCTACTCTTGGGAGTATTGGCTGTTATTATTGGTGAGGAAATATTATGCTTATAAAGGGTTATTAATGATATAGAGTGGAAGTGGGGAATATTATATGTTAACCTAATTTATTGTAATTTTGATTTGATTTAATAGGTAGACCTTAAAAACTGTATAATATTTGTATATATTTATTTCTTACTTATTCTTAAAAAATAACCACAATTTGACTTTATTTTCAGCCGGCAGCTCAGAAAAAACGGAACTCGATCCCAATGCCACCTGCAACTACACTCTGGTAAAGAAAAAGACCTTGGGGGTGGACCCATCTTTTTGGAAAAAGTTCTTCACGCATTTAGTACCCTTTACCAGTTCAAGAGGCAAAATGCAGTTCATACTCTTCAAGAGAAATTTTGCGGATTGCGGAAAGGAATTGTTCGTAGGCGATGTGGAAAACCTCAAGAACTCGGGCTTCGATGCACGTCATCAAACGAGGTAAGAGGGGGATTTCCTTGTAGATTAAATCGACAGAATGCAAATCGAAAAGGGGAAGTTATTGTGCAACAATCAATTCATTTATCACTTTACAGTGGTTCAAGTGTTTAGCAAAAAGCTGTTTAAACTTCGAAACAATTGACAGTGTAATCAGTATTCCCATTGAATGTATGGTACTTCTAGGGTAAATAATTAAACGAGAGAGCAAATCACCAATCTAATGAATAGAACCAAAACAAATATTAGCTTAATTCTCTCGCCAAATAATTTAATTTTTATATTTCGCGACTAACACGAAAACAGGTTTCTCTGCTTTATATTTACATTTTTTCGTTGAGCTTTCGTTTGGGTTATCGCGTTTTGAGTCATTGCCATTTGGCTGACACTTAAATAATTGTCAATTAAAAATTAATATGTATTTAAAATTTAAGAGATAGTAAAGGTAATGTTTGATAATAGGTATGATGGGTGCTACACGGATTTTGCATTAAAAAAGTGATAAGATAAAAAGAGGAATTGATGATTTACATGAGATAATTTTTGTTTATTTTGAGGGGCATTGATACTAACAATCGGAGTCACAATATTAGTAGCATATTCAAAAATACAAATTTTTTGTATAAATTAAATAAAATTTTACTTCTTTATATTAGTTTTTTAAGGAAGGAGGGTTAAGGTAACTTTTTAATCACATTACTTTCCTTATTTCAGAATCGTCATTCACGGCTGGATGAGTCAAAGCAAGGGTTCCCATATAAGAAAAGTTAAGAACGCTTATCTCAGCCTGACAAATCCGGGAATTAAACGGAGAACCCGCCCTTTACGATGACTTCAATGTGATTATATGCGACTGGAGTAAGGTATCAACGAATGTCAACTACTACCAGGTGGCCAAGACGGTGGAGGATATGGGTGCTCTGCTGGCGGATATGGTACGATTTCTTAATCAGGAAGCCAATATGCATTACGATGATGTATATGTGATTGGGCACTCGCTGGGAGCTCAGATTGCTGGCAGTGCTGGAAAGCAAATTATGCCATTTAGATTTAATACCATTTACGCCTTGGATCCGGCTGGTCCTGAGTTCCGAGAAAAGAGCGATGAGTATCGCATCGATGCTAGTGATGCTTCTTATGTGGAATCCATTCAAACCAGTGTCAGTTTTGGCTTTGAAAAGCCCGTTGGGCATGCCACTTTTTATCCAAATTATGGAAAAAATCAGAAGAAGTGCTATGTATATGGCTGTTCACATAAGAGATCCCATGATTACTTTATAGAGTCATTAACGAGTCCGGCGGGATTCTGGGGACCACGCTGTGAGCGTCATGATGATGGCACCTGGATCCTACTGATGGGCGATGGAGAATTCCGGATGGGTGGTGAGCCTTCAATTCCCGAAGAATGGCACTTTCTATGTGAAAACTTACTCAAAGCCACCGTATGCGATGGGTCATAGATGGCAAACGGAACCACCTCCACGGGAGGATGATTTTGAGAACTCCACCGAAGAGTAGTTTATTATCTGAGTTTTAGTCTTTGTCAATTGTTATTATAAAAGAGTGATCAAAAATATTATAAATACATTGTTTTAAGAGTGTTATATATAATAAGTTTGGTAATTTTTACTTTTGAAAACATTTTAAAAGAAAATACTTAGTTTAATCTTTTTTTCAATGTATATATTTTTGTCATATTTTGTGAAACTAAGGAAGAAACTTGTCTTATCTTTATTTTACTTCCAAATCGTGAACTAATTTATTTTTTAAGAAAGAACTACTGCCGGGTTGAGAAATTCCCATATCTTTATATACCTCCCAAAGGCGTAAGACTTGCTCATTATTTTAAAAATTTTCAACTAATAATGTTTCGAGGCCAAGGTGTTTGGTTTTACTTTGTGGTTTTCCTGGTCCTGGTAACTGCTAGGCCAAAAGTGAACTTCCGTATAGGCAAAGCAGGAGGAAATTTTCCTTCGGAATCCTCATCATCTACAGAATCCTCGACAAAATCATCTACAAGTTCCAGCATACAAACTTCTCCGGTGACCACAGAATCTACAACAACCTCTACAAAGACCACTATCATAATACCTACAAGTTCTAGTAAACAGACCTCTACGGTGGCCACAGAATCTTCAACAATCTCTACACCTATGACCAGTACAGTAATACCTACAAGTTCCAGCAAACAAACTACAGAGGTCACCACCCAAAAATCCACATCTACAACAACTAAGCTGAAACCAACTCAAGAGTCAGATGAGGATTCAGAAGAAGATTCTTCTTACGATGAATGCTGTGATTATTCGGATTGGTTGGACTATTTTTACGATTATTGTTGCTTTTAGTAAGCGTTTGATTCTGTGTCAATAGTAAGCATTCGATTCTGTGTCAATAGTAAGCATTCGGTTCTGAGTCAATAAATATTAACTGCAAACTAGTTGAAAATTTTCTAAAGCCAAAATGCAGCTGTATTTAATAATTTGTTTTGCGATCTTTTGTCTGCTAATCACCATAGAAGCCTTACCATTACCTTTAGGTCAAATGGCTGAGGCACTGTCCACTGAGCCTGAAATGGATTTTCCAGATCTTGATCTTTCGGTAAGGAATTAAGTAATGCGTGAAGAAACGCTAAAACTTATTAAACTCTTTAATTCCAGGAGATGTAAGACCGCCTTCTAACCCGCTATTTTTCGTTCTGGCTCGCCACATATTTGGAACAAAATTTTTAATTAAAACAAACAATATGTTACCTAAATTGTTGTTGCTGCTTTTTGGAGTCCTCGTTGCTGTACAAAATTGCAGTTGCTGGGCCAGAGGCTGCGGCGAGTTGTTGTTAATGCATTTACTCGGCTTAATTAGTTGAGATTTTACATTATTCATACGCCATGTGTGACCAGCGGCCACCCACTCGAACCCAACTACGACTCCCATGCCAGTGTGTGCGCTGATGCCTGCCGTCTCCTTCTTTTCCTGACAACATCATAATTTTCACTTAATTAAAGTTGTCGTTGTTGTGGGTGCTGAGTTTGAGGTTTGGCCCGAGGTGCATTCGTCTATAAAGTCGAGAGGAAGTGGAAAATACATGGCTATGTACTGAAAACTTTTGACTTTTAATTTAATCCATTCTATCTAGAAAACTTTGGGAATGTTTGGATGGTAGTTGGTATGAAGTGTTAAGTGTCTCTTAACAGAAAATAGAAATTAAGTTTGTTTCTGAAAACTTGTTAATAAAATATCTAAAGGTTTGGCATACTTAACAAAGAACAAAAATCTTAAGTTTGCTTAAGTGCCTGAAAGTATGCACTGATTTGTGTACATCCTGGTTTTTCTTTGAAATTTAAGATGAAAATTTAATCAAGTCTTTAATGGTTTTCACTTTTATAACACACGCTTACAAAAGCATAACTATTAAAGTAATATATCTAAGTTCATGATTAATGCTTTTAAAGCAATTTCCTGAGCACTAAAGTTCTCATATATCCGCAAAAAGAAAAGACATTTCCTGGCAAACTTCACAAAGTTGACAAGCCAAGCCAATTAAAGTTTGACATAATCCATTGATTGGCTTAACAAATATCCCAACTCACTTATCGTAATTGTTGCCTTAAATTGACAGATTGACAGCCAATGCCAAATGGAAGCCACAGGAATAATCGTTTGAGATTTCGTAGTGAAAACGGCAGCTCTTTTCAATCTCAGGTGGAAAATGATTTTCATTTAAATTTTATGCAAAATCATTTATCCTTCTTTGCGAACCCTTTGCCAAAAATAGTTGCCAGACTTCGATTTAACACGTAGTGGTTTCATTCGATTGATGATTGTATGTGAATCCCCTAGGGCACAATATTTACCCTGCATCACTCTGAATTTGATTATTTAAATTTTGCACATTCGTTTTCATGGCGTATAAATTATTTATGAGCCATGTGTGTGCAGGCAGTTCTATTATGGCATTCTAATTAAGGCAGCCCACAGAATGTCTCCCAAGTTCATACTAAGTAAGAGGTTGAGTAACTGATGACCAAAAGACTTCTGATGGGAATTAGACCCTTAAAAATCCACTGGAAAATTCAGGAGTTAAGAATTTCGACGACAAACCCTTTTTCGTTGACAGCCTGAAGACCAATTTGTCGCCCGGAAAATGGACCGTGTGAAAGCCTTGGAGTGCCATAACTTTGCTGATATGCTGGGTGTTGAGATTGTCGCCCAGGAAACACTCCTTTGAAAAAAAGGAAAAACCCCAAAAAAGAAAAAAGGATAAAATTAAAACGAAATCAGGATACGTTTTGTGGGTGGCAGAAAGGTTACAAAAGGCAGCAGAGATATCCTGGCAAATGAGTCCGATACCAAGGCGATGACAATGACTTACATTGCTGCTAAAAGCTGGTAAAGCAGGAAGAGCAGGAAGCAGGAAGCAGGAAAAGGACCTGTACTCCAGCACTCGTTTAAGTTCATGTGCACACGCACTTAGGTCAGCAGATATCGGGCAGGAAGTTGGATGAATCAGCTCCGCCACTTTACTTACATATGTACCCCGCATCTCTCTCTCTCTCTCTCTCTATCTTCATCTGGATCTTCAAGTCTCTGATGCTATTTGTGCAATTTTATAGCGTTTTTATGGCACACAAGTTTTGTGCTTGGTGCCTGCGTCCTGCGTCCGGTTTTCTCTCTTTAAAATATTTAAATTTGATGTGTGTGTGAGGGTGGTTGTGGTGGAGTGGTTGGAAAATTCGGTTCCGTTGTGTGCTCAACTGTGTAATAGAGGCAGCCGTTTTCAAGTAATGGCAAATGGGCATAGGAAAAGTGCGAAAATGGTTAGGGAAATTTGCATTCAGGGGCGGGAAATTTTTCAAAGATGCAGTTTAAAAAGGAGTAGAAGTTAGAAGTTAGGAAATTAAAAATTGAAGCAATTTAATATACATATATTTTGATATTAAACTGTTATGATAATAATATTTTCTTTTTAATCCAGTCATCTGCTGACAATATGTACATAAACCTCCATCCCTGATGCCAAGAATTTCTCCCTACATCTACTATGAGTATATAGTATGCTCCCCTAGCCATTCACATATCCGTATCTATGTCAGTTCACTTGAGTGCTGTTGTTGTTGCGGCTTCTACTTTTCGGGCCTTTTTCCAAGTTTGCGGTGTGATTTTATGTGCAAACTTAAATTATACAATTTCGGGGGCCATGAATACATTTTCCTCCGTCATCCTCTCGTCATCGTCATCGTCTTCGTCTTGTGATATTCTTGCTTCTCGTTTTGCCGGCGAAAGGGACAATGAGTTGCTAAATGCTTTGAATATTCTTCTGGCCATTGCCTGGCACTGCATGCATAATATACGATATATGGCCATGTCAGATGCGAATCCTTCGAGTGTGGTCCAGGCAGAGAACTCTTGCGACTCCAACAAAAGGGGCAAAGGGGAGGCAAAATGTGTTGACAGGTCGAGTGTGTCGTGCGGTTTCTTTACCAAAAGCGTCTTGGCCAGAAATTGTTCTCAATCTCAGTCCACTGCTAACCAAAAGATTTTGGCTTTCGGTTTCGTTTTGAGAGTAGAATTTCTACAAGGCTCAAACATAATAAACGAGTATTAGAAACCATTGGACATCTGCTTGGCTATTCATTAATTTTTGGGGAAGGCAAGGGAAAACAGGGATTTATGGCTATTCAAATTATTATATATTATATCTCATATCAATAAAAATAGAAAATATTCAACTTTCTGCTCAGAACTTAAGACTTTTTATTAAAAGCCGATGCAAAGGCAGACATTTTTAAACAAATAAAAATTATAGCAAATTTTCTAAGTCTTTACTAATTAATATTTAACTTTTCAATTTGCAATAAAGTAGAGTTTTTAGTTTTATAAATATATTTCTTACCCATTGTAATAATTTGAATAAATAACCAGTTTTTACCAGACATCAAAAATTCATTGCAAATAAGTTGCTTTTAATGTTGCATTAAGAAACCTTTAAAAATTATACATTTCTAAGGACTGCAATCTGAATAATAAAAACAAACTTAATGATTGGGGTTTTTGTGTGTGTTTCTTTAGCCGCTTTTAATACCAGTCAAGCACACAACAAAGTACGCACTTTGTTAACATTTAAAAGCCAGCAATAAAGACAACGGCACATCCTGCCCTTTGCGGCCACGCCCCCTCTCCCAACGCTCACAAATGCAGCTGAGATACCATACTTTTTTTCGTCTTGTTGTTGTTCGGTCTTAACTCTGTTTTTTTTCGCTGTGTTTTAAGTACATGTGTGTTTTACGTCTGGTGGTCAAAAAAGTTTACGTACACGTTCGCAAATATGCTGTCGTAAGCTAATAGTGCATGTGTGCTAACTTTTTTTTAGCACTGTAAAGGCAGCTTGCGAAAGGAGTAAACAAACGATGTGCAGGAAAATGGAAAAGCGAGAGTTCAGATTAATTCAATTATATGTCTGGGCTGTTTTTTTTTGGTTTACATTTATGCGGGGCTCGTATTTTGCTTTATATTTATTAAATATTTTATTATTAACTAAAAAATTCTAAGTGAAAGTTTAAGAAAATTAAGAAATATAAATATTATAGTATGGTGTCTTTATTGTATACTTGTAGTCATTTCGGTTCTTAACTTCCGATCACGCCGGCCACGTTTTTTAGAATGTTCTTCTTTCTTTATCGTTTGTGCATTCCAGGGATGGAAGATACTCTCGATACTTTTACAAACCAGGGATAGTACACATAATACATATCCAGGGCTACACAAATAACATAATATAAATAACTTAAAACTACGTTGGCCATGTTTATACTAAGAGTAGTTGCTTACATACATAGTTCTTATTACTACAATATATATAATTTATTTATTCCCTTTTTATAATCCTTGTATCATCTTAAACTCTCCCGCATAAACGTAGTTATAAAAAACACGAACAAAAAGGTGCTGGAATCTACTGCTATAATGGCAACATGTCCTGGCCTCAGCTGGTTGGCTTTTGTTTCCCTTTACTCGCTTTTGAACAAATTAAAAGAGATGGTCACCACAGTCCTCTGGGCTCCACCCAGCTACTCCCTCCGTTCTAGCATAACCACAACATTTATGAAAACTATTTGCAGAACTCAAGGCAAAGCGCAGCAGGAGAAAAGAAATTGTATTAAAAACAAATATAGAAAAAGGTATGGGGCAGTGGGTGGCATGAGCAGTGGGTGGCGGATAATGGAAGCTGCCCGCCAGTTATACAAGATGTTTATAAAAGGCCCGACCAGGCACGTTCCATGTCCAAGAGTGCAAACAAATAGGGAAACAGGAACGGGGAACAGGAACAGGAAACAAAAACAGGACGCCAACCGACATGACTTTCTTGATGGGTGAAAGGGAAAAGAAAATGGCTCTGAGGTCGGGATTGGTACATAGAGGAAAAATTAAAGAAATTTTTTGCTTATTTAATAATTTACAGTAATTTTAAATATTATTATTCATAAATATTTATTCGTTTTACAAGTTTATTAACATAGTTTAAGATCATTTGAGGGTAAAAGTACTTTCACTTAAAATCGAAAACTATTTTTTCGAGTGCCTTGATACCAGTGGCTGCAGCAAACAAATCGCAAATTGAAAAAAGCAGATAAGTAGCAGAAGTTGCACTTCTCTCGCGAAAGAGCGGAGAAATGGTAGCAAAGAGAATGGCAAATAAAAATCAGAGACTCCGTTCGTGCTCCTGTCAAGGCAATTGCTCCCTCTCCTCCCTGTTCTATAGGTCCTTCCTCCCATTTGGCTCCCATCTTCTGGTAACATTGTTAACCCCTGCAAGTTATGCATTCTTAATTTAATCGCTGGAATTGACTCTCCAGAGGCAGCTACCACTGGCTTAGCGGCTGGGTATTTTCTCCAGGGCTCCGTTTTCCATTTCCTCGACGTTGGTAAGTTTGCAGCAGAGATTGGGCATATATCATGCGATTATATTGCATAGTTTGCATTGCCCAATGACTCGGAAATCGCTTTTTCTTGTCTCCCCCAAACTCAAACTCAGCATGGAGATTAAGTTGCAGACAATCCCTGAAAAAGGGGAGCCCCTTTCAAGCAGCCCAAAGGGGTGCATGCAAATAGTTTTAAGCGTCGCGGATAAAGTTTGGCCAACAGATGGCGTTGATATTAAAACCAAGGAAGCTTCTTTATTAAGCTTTAAAGGATGTTATTAAGATTCTTTTCATATTTTATTTATTCCTTTCTGTACATAAACATAAAACCTCTTTAATGGCCTTATAAATCCAGGACTTCATTTTAGCCACATCAACATAGACCCCAGGATATTTTGGATTAGCACACCCTTTCCCAAAGGAAACGATGCCAACTAGTTTGCCATCCGATACCAGAGGTCCTCCAGAATCCCTTGAACACGAATCCTTACCAGGAGCAGCGGCACATAACATTTCCTTCGTAAGGATTTTGCCATATGATTTCCGACAGCTCTTCCAATCCACTATATTCACCCTGGTCTCTAGCAGGGAATTAGATACTTTCTGATTCCATCCTATAGCTCCCCATCCAGTAACTGAAGCTGAAGATCCTGGTCTTGGTGAACTAGTGGCCAATGGGATGGGACTTACATTGGCTCCCATGCGGAGTCTTGTCTGAAGTCTGATTACTGCTATGTCGTTGGAATAACTTGTGCCATGACTTTCGTGAACTTCGATTCTTGAGACGTTTACCACCTGACCACCGGAGTTTCCTTCGGATGAGCCAACTCTGATAGTTATTATAGTATCATCTTCAGAAATGCAATGACCTGCCGTAAGAACAATCTGATCACTATAGATTACAGCCCCGCAACAATGTTTGCCATCTTTCAGGAGAGATGCTTGCCAGGGAACCGCTGAAATGGGCACCGAGTGACCACCAACTATCCGCTCCGGAATCCATATGGCGGATATTAGGGTGACCATGGAGATCAAGAAAATCCACTGGATCAACATTTCGAGCCGACTTAGACTTACGAGTGACTTTAAAATGAGTTGGATTTCCTTTTATAGGTCAAAATTTTCAATATTTTCAAAGAATTTTGCACAATAAATAAGTAAGAATGTTAAGGAATGTTTGGTGATAAAAAATTAATTACCAGAAGAGATAAAGATTTATTTTTAAAGCACATAAAATAGTAACCAAATAGTGAGCAGAAGTTAATTA